GGGAATTGAACCTGGGACCCTTCAGTCTGCAGGCTGATGCTCTATCCACTGAGCCTAACTGGTTAGGGAAATATATATATATATATATATATATATATATATATATATATATATATATATATATATCTCCAACAAAAAAAACCTGTCATATTACTAGTATATTGGGGACACTTGTAGTCCCTGCCCGGGGCCTGGTTGGGGGGACGGTCTGGTTTTGAAGTTGATCAGAGGACCCGGTCGCCCGGGCTCCCCTCGGAGCAGAGTCGACCGATGTGTGTGATGAATTTGCAAACGGGCGCGCGGCTCGGGACAGTGTGTACGCGGGAGCCTGCTGTTCCTGCGATGTGGCGGCCAAATGTCACCGAGCCCGCTTTTATTTTCGTCCCGAGGATGGTGTCTGCTTAGCACCCGCCGCCTGGCGCTGTGCGGGCTGGTGGACTCAGCAAGTCCCGAGAAGCCTTCTCGGTCCGTCGGTGGGTCGGTCGGTTGGTCGCTCCGGGCCCGGCAGGCGCACTCGGGTTGGCGGGAAGCCCGGGCCGCCCCCAGGTTCACAGAAAGCGCCCGGGTGTCACGGTGAAGCCTCTGCGTGGGGAAGGGTGGCGTGCACCCGGGACCCTGGGCGGCGTGCCACCCACATTCGCCCTCCCCAACCGCGTCCTTCCCCAACCGGACAGACTCCCCCGGGCGCTGTGGTCTGAGGGCAGACGGTGAGGTGTCAGACGAGCGAAAGGAAAATCCCCTCCTGGGATTGGAACCTCTCCACCGTGTAATCTCGGGGTCGAGTGACATTGACCTTCCTGCCCTTGAGGACAGAAACGCTTGCTCAGCAGAAGGTCGAAGGAAGGAGCGTTGCCCTACAAGTAGTCAGGGCGTCCTGGGGTGTGAGCGACCGACGCCCTGTCTGTGCCAGGGAGAAGGTGGCACGCCCGGGTGCTCCATTCACCGAAGGAGGAGGGACAGGGCAGCAGCCCCAGCAGCGGCCAGAGCTGCAGGTCCCAGTGCCACGAGGCCTTGTCTGCCGTCCCTCCCTCCCCCACCCCCCACGCCAAACGGTGACACAAGGCACTAACCTCACCCAGGCACAGCATTTGCACTCCCGGCCCCAGAACTTCCAGTCACCAGGGCGTGGGGCTTGGTGAGGGCAGCCGGGGGGCCCGGCGGGAAACACTCCCCGATTGGGAGGAAGAACAGCCCCGGGAGAGGTGGCTGGAGGACTGGGAGCCAGGACTCCAGGGTCTCCGGGGGGTGGGGACCAGGCTCTCGGGGAAGCAAGTGGAGATTTTCTCAGACAAACAGATCCTGCCCTGCGTCTCCCAGGATTCCTGCAAATAACCTCCACGGGACACCAGCCGTTCGGAGTCAAAAATAACTAAGCGGGCGGAGGAGCGGATCCGCAGCCCGCGCGCGGGCCTTCGGGGGAAGCAGGCTGCATGGAGGTGCGTGGACCCCACAGCCACGCCGGCCGCGAGGCAGGCTGCAGATAGGTGCCGGGAATGGGAAAGGCATGGAGAACGGAGAGGCAGGTCTGAGACACAGCCGCCGAGGACGTTCACAGAACAGTCAGCGCCGGAGAGAGGACAGTATGGAGGCCTGAGGGGAGGACGCCGCCCGGAACACAGCCCCGGAGGGAGGGGGGCGGGGGCGGGGGCGGGGGCGGGGCGGCGGCAGCGAGGATGGGCTGCAGCGAGCAGAGCACTGAGAGCATCTGCCTCAGGAGATTTCCGGAAAGGAGACCGGGTGTGGCGAGATCATGGCTGGGAGGGGGTGCTCCGGACCTGACGAGGCAGGGTCCTCACTTGGTTAGAGCGTCGTCTCCAAACACTAAGGTGGTGGGTTCGATCCCCGGTCAGGACACATACAGGAAGCAACCAATGAATGCATGAATCAGTGGAACAACAAATTGATGTCTCCCCCTCTCTCTCTCAAATCAATCAATCAGTCAGTCAGTCAAGGGGCAAGAATGGAAAGTGGTTCGGAGAAGGGGAGAGAGCACTGGAGACATCATTGTGATTCAGCTCCAGAGAGATGCCGGGTGCTCTGGGGTCCCAGGGCTGAGCGCTAGATTCCTGCCCCCCAACCCCACCCCCACCCCCCCACACACACACACACAACGCCCCGAGAGAGCCCAGCCCTTCCCCTGGACTCCTGTCCATCCTCGGTCAGGTCCTCCTGCCCATGAGGTACTTTGGGCAGTTCCTGAGAAGGGAGGGGTCCTCACGCCAGGATCAGAGGCCCTTTGCCCGCACTGCCCAGCTGAAGGGAGTGGGGTCCTGGTGTCGTCTGTGAGAACAGCCCCGCTGGTTGCTGGGCAGTGCCCGGTCTGTGCCCGCTGAACAGGCAGCCCAGCTCCTCCGGTGCCTTCTGCTGCCATGTCATGTCCCCGGGGCCTCCAGGCTTGACCAGTGTTTGTTTTTCCTCTGTGCTTCCCCCCCTCCTGTCCCCCGCCTCCCGCCCCGGACGAGGCTGGCATCCATCATCCGCGGGAGGGTTTTATGGGGCACTGAAGGGAAGCTAATGATTCTGAAAAGCAGAGCCAGGTCCCGGGAAACTTTCCAGGCCTGCAGTGTTCTCGGCCACCCCCGGGAGCCTGGCCATGACGGCCGCGCTGGTCGATTGCCTGCTCCCTGGGGCTGGGCAGGGCCCGGGCAGAGCTGTGTGCACACGCGTTTGCTTGGGGGCACACAGGCGTGTGCACACCGCACCCAGGGGACCCTGGCCCGGCCTTCGGGCCCAGGATGCAGCCTGGCCTGCGTGTTGCCTTCGGAGTAGAACATTTGGACCTAGCGTGGGCGGCCTGAGGCACCTGCTCCTGCTCACCCCGGGGCCAGTGGGTCAGGCCCGGATCTCAGCCCGTAAAACGCCCATGGTCATGCCTTCTGCCCTGGACTCTGTGTGGCTCTGCCAGTGACTCAGCCCCGCCGGCTCCCTCCTCCCGCCTGGCCCTGCGGCCTCCCAGCACCGCCTTTCCCAGTGTGATGCACGGGGAATCGTGAGCATCGGAGAGGGGCTGGCGGCCGCACCAAGGTCATCGGGCCCCGCCCCGCCGTGGGTCACGGTGCAGCCTCTGTCTGTCTGTCTGTCTAGCTACTGGCTGGGCTCATGCCCCTCACACACACTCAGGGGGGGGGGGGTATGTGTGGGGGGAAGTATGTGGGGGTGGGCGTCTGGCTCTGCAAACAGTTTGAGTCACAGACGCTGTCAAGGAGCCGGCGGTTGTTCCGGGAGGCGGCGGGGAGGGTGCGCCCACGATGCCCGGAGGGTCCCTGATGGCCTTGGGGTCCTGCCCTCGATTCCGTGGGTTGAGCCCCGGGTTCTCTGCCAGCTGCAGGCCTGTCTCCCCCCCCCCCCCCCCCCGTGTGGCTCTGGATGGATGGGCGGGCTGCCTGAGGACCAGGAGGGTGACCCCCACCCCAGATCCGGCCAGGGCTCCAGACACACCTTGCCCAAGGCGGATCCCTCCCCCCAGGACGGCCCGGGGTGCCACGCCCAGTGGCCTCCACTCTGATGTCGTCATCTGGCCCTGCTGTTCCCTCAAAGACACCGGAGAACAAATGGGGGTCCCTCCTGGGGTTGTGAATCCAGGGCTTCGGGGAGCCCCTGGCTCTCCCAGAGACCGAAGGCCCAGTGGCGTCATTGAGGCTCCGTCCAGGGTCCATCCCTGTGCTCTGAGGGCTGAGCCTGGGCCGTGCTCCCGGGGCGGGGTGCTCCCGGGTTCCCCCCTTTCCTTCCCTGGCTTCCCTCATCGAAAGGCCTCTCATGACTTCCTTCTTCTTTCTCCCCCTCCCTGGGCCAGGCCCCCGGCTGCCTGGGCGAAGCGGTAAAGCATCGCTCTGTCTAGCCCACCCCGCCTGCAGCAGGGCCGATGAAATGTGTGTCTGCCTCGCGCCTGGGCAGCCGGAATTGGCATAATGAGATTGTCGGAGGGTTCAGCTGCCGGGCAGGCGAGGCGGGCTCGGGGGACGGGCAGACACACAGGCCGCTCCGCCTTCTTCCACGAGGGGGCTGCAGTCTGCCCGGGGGAGAGAGCAAGGGGACCCCGCCATGCCCACCGGGGCCAGGCAAGGGGCCGTGTGACCTTGGGGTGTGCCTGCCCCAGTGCTCGGCTGTGTTCCCCTGAGGGCGGTGGTGTGGGGGCTGCAGGTGGTGGTGGGGGGGGAAGCTGGGCCACACACAGGCCTGGGCGCCTGCCTCCGGCCCCGGCTCAGACCCTGCTTGCCGGCTGAATGCTGGTCGGAACTGGGCTGAGCATCTACAGGCAAGATGAGAGAGCTTTGTGGGAGGTACAAGGAAAGATCAAAGCGATTAGGGAATTGGCTCACGGCCATAGCTGGGAATTGGCTGACTCGAAGGCTGTTTTCTTTCTTTAAAAAAAATAAGTAAGTAAATATATATATGTGTGTGTGTGTGTGTGTGTGTGTGTGTGTATATATATATATATATATATATATATATATATTATTGCTTTTTTACAGAGAGAAAGGGATAGTTGGAGAGATGGAGAGTTAGAAACATTGATGAGAGAGAAACATCGATCAGCGGCCTCCTGCACACCCCCTACAGGGGATATGCCTGCAACTAAGGTGCATGCCCTTGACCGGAATCGAACCTGGGACCCTTGAGTCTGCAGGCCAATGCTCTATCTACTGAGCCAAACCGGTTTTGGCTATGATTTCTTTTTTATGTTTTTGGTTTTTTAAAATTGATTTGAGAGAGAGTGAGAAACATCCATGAGAGAGAAACATCCGTTGGCTGCCTCCTGCTGGCCTCCTATTGGGGATCAAGCCCGCAACCCAGCATATGCCCTGACCAGGAATCAAACCAACGACCTCCTGGTGCCCGGAATGACACCTCACCTTGTGGGATCACGGTCATGTGGTGGGCTCACGGCCCAACGGGGACCAGAGCACCCGCCTCAGGTGTCGGCCCCGCCCCTCCTCCGTGTTCTTGCACCCATGGGTCTTGGCAGAAGGCGGCTCACCTGTCCTTTCTCTCTCCCGCAGGGGTCCTTGCTGAGCTCTGTCATGGTGATCTAAGGAACCTCGTCACCTAGAAGTCCCAGCACGCAGTTCCCCGTCGCCGGGAAGGCGTGGACTCCAAGATGATCATAAAGGAGTACCGCATCCCTCTGCCGATGACCGTGGAGGAGTACCGCATCGCCCAGCTCTACATGATCCAGGTGGGTCCCGGGTTGGGGCTGGCCATGCCAGGCACACACGCAGCACCCCTCCCCCGCACCTGGGCGCCGGGGGGCGCTGTGGCCCTCGCGCACCCTGTCTGTCCGCCAGGCTCCCGTTTTCCCAGGTCCTGCTCTGTGGCAGTCCCCAGCCCAGCGTCCCTGCCGCCTCTCGGTGCCCCAGCCCTTGGCCCAGCCTGACAGCTTCCCTCTCAGCTGAGGGTCTGATTATAAACGGGCCGTGGGCCCAGCTCTGGGCTCCTCTGGGCATGTGGATGGCTCGGTCCAGCCTCTGGCCGTGCTGGTCTCCCCCCGCCCCCGGCCCCAGTCACAGAATCGTCACACAGGAGTCAGGGGAGCCTGGGCCGGCAGGGCCGCCACCTCTACCCCTGGCTTTGCTTGGTGGCTCCCACCCTTCAGCCCAGGTCTGGGGAATGGGCTAGGAGCTCCCGCCGCCCCCCCCCCCCCAGGCCCCCAGGAGGAGCTCGACGGGGCAGCCATAGTGTGAGCGGGAAGAGGACAGAGGCAACTGGGCCTCTCTGGGGGGCCGTCAGCTCCAAACTGCTTCCGACGCGCCACTCAGTTCCCTCCTGAGCCACTTACCCTGCAGTTATTCCTCGAGAGCAGGGAGGGGGAAGAAGCTCGTCAGCCCCCCAGTCCTGAGTCCCCTGGAAATCGCTCAGCCTGTGTGAGGGAGGCCCCGGCTGGTCTGCCACAGCCGCTGTGTCTGCGGCTCCGAAATCCCCACCCACGCCAGGGGAGCCCCCCCTCCCGGGCACCGCGCAGCCCGCTGCGTGCAGACCCCTGGGGACGGGCGTTCTTCTTTAGGCTATCCAGAGCTTTTCCACCCATTTCACCACCTCTGCCTCTGGGCCCCTCTTTTCAGATTTTAAAAAAGTCATCTCTTCATTTACTGTGTATTTTTACATAATTGATTTCAGAGAGGAATGGAGAGGAGGGAGGAAGAGAGAGATAAAAACAACAATGAAAGAAAGTCATTGATCAGCTGCCTCCTGCAGGGCCCCCCCCCGCCCCCACTGGGGATCGAGCTCACAAACCGGGCATGTGCCCTGACTGAGAATCAAACTGTGACCTCCCGGTTCATAGGTCGGTGCCCAACCACTGAGCCACACCAGCCTGACAGAAACATCTATTCTTCTGCCTCCCATGTGATGTCTCCCATGGCCCGGGAGCTGCTCACTCACTCTCCCTCTTCCAAGCCCCAATCCTCCTGCTCCCACATTTGTCCCACCTGCATCTGGCCCCGAGTTCCCAGGTTCTCCGCCCACCATGGGGGAGACAGACAAGCCCATCATCTCCACTGTGTGCAGGTTCCACGGGTGTGAGCGTAGTCAGACCTCGCTAGAGCTGTTAACAAGGTCAGTTAGACTTCTCTGTGCCCAGCCGGGGCCGAAGGCCGGGGGACAGAGATGTACTGGGGATTGAGACCACAACCGAGGCGTGTGCCTTGACTGGGAATGGAACCGTGACCTCAGCCACTGAGCCGCGCCGGCCGGGCACGTGTTCGAGGTTTTAAAAACAAAGGAAAGCCCCAACCGGTTTGGCTCAGTGGATAGAGCGTCGGCCTTCGGACTCAAAGGGTACCGGGTTCGATTCCGGTCAAGGGCATGCACCTCGGTTGCGGGCACACACCCAGTGGGGAGTGTGCAGGAGGCAGCTGATCGATGTTTCTCTCTCATGGATGTTCCGAACTCTCTATCCTTCTCCCTTCTTCTCTGTAAAAAATTAATAAAGTATATTTAAAAATATATATGTATATAAATAAAACAAAGGAAGGGTTGGCCTGTCTGGGAGCGAGCCTGCTCTCCAGGAAGAGGCCGGGCAAATGCTTAGCTCCCAGAGAGCCCTGGGCGGCACTTAGCCAGGACCCTGGACAGCGCTGGGAGCTGCTGCCTAGGGGGCTTCTTGCTCTTTGCTGCTTCCCACCCCCTTCTTTAGCCCCCCCCCCCCCCAGCCTCCTGTGTAACACTGAAGGATCCTGGCCTCCCGCACCGCACCGGGCCCACGTGGCTCAGCCCCTCCCGTGCAGCCTCGGCCCCGGGGAGGGGGAGGGAGGGCAGGCTTCTCCGCCCAGCCCGCGCCGGCAAAGCAGACGGGGTCACAGGTGCGTGCATGTGAGCATGCGCACACCTGCTGTTCAGGAAACTGACCGAAGGTAGCCTTGGCGGTGCCGTCACGTCACCATGGAAACAGATGCTGGGCTTAAAGTCACCAGCATCTCAGCCGCGAGGAGGTTTTCTGCATAAGCAGGAACCTGAGCTTTTGAACACCGGCAAGGGTGTTGGTGGCCGAGAGACGCTCTGAGGTGACCCAGGCCCCTCCCCACTCCCCACTCCCCACAGTTGATCTTGCTGAAGTCTGGGAGTGAGCAGGAGGCGTGTGTGTGTGTGTGTGTGTGTGTGTGTGTGTGTGTTTCGTCATATACCAGCTTCGTTGAGATGTAAGTCACGCACCAACCAATTCACGTGTTTGCCGCGTAGAGTTTAGTGGTTATCGTTATGTTATGAAACCAGAATCAATTGAGAGCCTTTCCATCTCCTCAAACAGAAGTCATTTTTCCGTTCCCAGCCCCCCATCTCTGGGCAACCAATAATCTGCTTCCCGGCTGTGGATTTGCCTATTCCGGATATTTCATAGAAATAGGATCACACAGCAGGTGGCCTGGTGTGTCCGGCTTCTCTCACTCAGCGTCGTGTGTTCAGGGCTCATCCATGCTGTCGCAGGTGCCAGCATTTCATTTTTATGGATGAATCAGTCCATTGTGTGGACATAATCTGTTTATCCTTTGTTGTTGTTGTTAATCCTCACCTGAGGATATTTTTTCCCACTGATTTTTAGAAAGAGTGAGTGGAAGGAAGGGAGGGAGGGAGGGGAAGAGAGAGAGAGAGAAACATCGATGGGAGAGAGACACATCGATTGGCTGCCTCCAGCATATTCCCTGACCGGGACCAGGGATCAAACCTGCAACCCAGGTACGTGCCGGTGACTGGGAATCGAAGCCATGACTCTTCGGTGCACCACACTGACCAGAGCCGTTGACCCGTTTTTCAGTTCGTGGAGATCTGCGTTGGTTCCGCCCCCTGGCTGTTTTGACTAGCGCTGCTCTGCACACGGGTGTCCACGTTCGTGTGCTGACCAATTTTTTCATGTCCTCGGACGGATACCTACGAGTGGAACTGCTGAGCCATGTGAGAACTACGTGTTCACCTTTTTTTTTTTTTTAAATATGTTTTATTGATCTTTTACAGAAAGGAAGAGAGAGGGATAGAGAGTTAGAAACATCAGTGAGAGAAAAGCATCAATCAGCTGCCTCCTGCCCACCCCCTACTGGGGATGTGCTTGCAACCAAGGTACATGCCCTTGGCCAGAATCGAACCTGGGACCCTTCAGTCTGCAGGCTGACGCTCTATCCACTGAGCCAAATCAGCCAGGGCTGTGTCCACCTTTTTTGAGGAGCCACCACCCTGTTTTCCACGACAACTATACCGTTTTGCCTTTCCAACGGCAGTGCATGATGGTCCTCGTGTCTCCACATCCCCACCAGCACTTGCTAATCGTTTGACTTCTTAGCCACCAAATGGGCATGAAGGGGCATCTCAGTGTCGATTTGATTGACATCCCCTGATGACTAGGGCAGCTGCAGCATCTTCTCGGGGGCTTGTTGGCCATTTGCGTATCTTTTTTTTTTTTTTTTTTTTTTTTGAGAAATGACTATTCAAGCCGTTTATGTGTTTTCGAATTGGGTTATTTCCTTCTTTGTTGTTGAGTCCTAAGCGTTTTTAATATCTTTTGGATACGCATCCCTTATCAGGCATATTATTTACAAAAATGTCCTCCCATTCGGTGGGTTACCTTCCTCTTTCTTCTTAGTGTCCTGCGTGTGATGCACACAAAATTGTACATGTTTTATGGAACCCATTTTATCTATCTTCCCCCCTGGTGGCTTGTGCTTAAGAAACTATTGTCAAATCCAGGATAAGGAAGACTTGCCCCCACTCTATCTTCTTCTAAGACTTCTATTAATTTTAGGTCTTCGATCCGTTTGAGTTCGTCTTTATGTGTGGTGTGAGGGAGGGGTCCAGCTTCATTCTTTTTTTTTTTTTTTTTATCAATTTCTTTATTGATTACGGTGTTAGATACGTGTCTTTGTTTCCCCCCAACTCCCCCATCCCCTCCCCTTATGCCCTTACCCCCCTGTTGTCTGTGTCCATTGGTTAGGCTTATATGCTTGCATGCAAGTCCTTTGGTTGATCTCTCCCCTTTACCCCCATCCTCCCCTACCTTCCCTCTGAGGTTTAATGGTCTGATCGATGTTTCTCTTTCTCTGGATTTATTTGAGTTCCATATGTTGTTCATTATATTCCATAAATGAGTGAGATCATGTGATATTTATCTTTCTCTGCCTGGCTTACTTCACTTAGCACAGTGCTCTCCAGTTCCATCCATGCTGTTGCAAATGGTAAGAACTCCTTTTTTTTTTTTTTTTTTAACCACAGCATAGTATTCCAGTGTGTAGATGTACCACAGTTTTTTAATCCAGTCATCTGCTGGATTGGCACTTAGGCTGTTTCCAAATCTTAGCTATTGTAAATTGTGCTGCTATGTACATAGATATGTCCTTTCTAGTTGGTGTTTGTAGTTTCTTGGGATATATTCCTAGAAGTGGGATCACTGGGTCAAATGGGAGTTCCAGCTTCATTCTTTTCCCTGTGGAGAGCCAGTTGTCCGAGCACCATCAGAAAAGACCATTCTTTTCCCCGTTGAGTCGCCTTGGCATCCTGGAGATACGCATAGGAGGACTCAATACGCATAGTTTGCAGATATAGGCACATGGGTTTCCTCCTAGACTCCTGCCTCGCCTACACAGATCCGCCTCTCCTAGGCCCCCCTCCCACTCAGCTCTCCGGGGCTGGGTCACCTGAGCCCCTTCCCTCCTGCAGAGCACTGCGGCCCCCACCCACGGACCTGCCTTTGTCCCCACAGAAGAAGAGCCGCACCGAGACGCATGGCGAAGGCAGCGGCGTGGAGATCCTGGAGAACCGGCCGTACACGGACGGCCCCGGCGGCTCCGGGCAGTACACCCACAAGGTGTACCACGTGGGCAGGCACATCCCCAGCTGGTTCCGCTCCATCCTGCCCAAGGCGGCCCTGCGGGTGGTGGAGGAGTCCTGGAACGCCTACCCCTACACGCGGACCAGGTGAGCGGGGTGTGTGTGCGCGTGTGTGCCCTGTGGCATCGATCCCGGGAGGAGGCGGCCCTCCAGGTGAGGCCCAGCCCCTGCACCCCAGGCTTCCCGGGAGCTGAGCCTCTGTTCCAGGTAGGGGAGCCCTGACGGTCCCCTGGGCTTCCCTGCAGGAAACGGGGGTGTCAGGAGAGGGGTGTCCCGGAGGGAGGCCTGGAACGCATGCGTCCAGCAAGGTCCGGTGGAGACCCCCCTTTCCATCTGGGAGCTCAGGGGATACACACGAAACCTTGACGTTCACCTGAGAACCGGGGACAGTCAGCAGCTGGGAAGGAGCACGGCCTGAGGGTAGACCAGGTGGCCCAGACTCCCTCCCTCCCTGAGGCTGAAGCTATTATACATGCCATGTGGACCTGGGGTTTCCTTTAGATCCCCCCGGTAGGAGGTTCATCACTCTGGCCCCCACCTCGCCCGGTGCAGCTGAGCACCACTGGGTTAGACCAGACTGGTGCGCCCCGCTGGCTGCCACCTGCTATGCAGACAGGGTCCCCATGAGTCTCCCGGGCTGCCTTCATTCCTCCTCCCAGTAGCGCTCTCCTCCTCTGCACTCAATTCCAGCCAAGAGCGAAGGGCTGACCTGGCCCGTGTGGGTGAGCGCCGACCCATGAACTAGGAGGTCAGGGTTCGGTTCCCAGTCAAGGGCACATACCCAGGTTACAGGCTGGGTCCCCAGTAGGGGGCGTGCAGGAGGCAGCTGACCAATGATTCTCTCATCATTTTTGTTTCTCTCTCCCTCTCCTTTCCTCTCTCTGAAATCAATAAAAACATTTTTAAAAAGAGAGAGCAGGCAGCGGGGGGCTGTTCCCTTGTTACCAGACCTGACTGACTCCCTGTGAGACGGCGGGCAGGGGTGGCTTGCGGCTCTGAGTGCTTGTCCCTTTCTGCCCACTCAGCAAGAGGCTGCGGGAGTCGTACCTGCGTCTGTACCGTGCCTTACACCCAGGGACCTGGACACGCCGCTCCCAGCAGCTTCCTGCCACATCTCCCTCCCCCCACAACCCGCCCCTGCCCCCGCCTGGCCTGGGCCGTGCTTGGGACGAGGGGGAGGTCCAGGACGTGGACAAGACAGATGAGTCTCGTCCACACTCCAGCCTCCTTCCTCCTGGGTATCCTGCCCCGGCCGCCCCACGCCCGCACCCTCCTCCCCCGGGTCCTGATGGGTGCTGTTCTCCCCCCACAGGTTCACCTGCCCTTTCGTGGAGAAATTCTCTATCGACATTGAGACCTACTATAAAAGCGATGCCGGAGAAAACCCCAACGTCTTCAGCCTGTCCCCCGTGGAGAGGAGCCAGCTGGTGATCGGTAACGTCCACCACGAGGCTCCTGTGTTGGGGTTCCCTCTCCGTGGCGCCCTCCCGTCCCCCCATCTCCCGGCCGGGCAGGCTCCCAACCCGCTCCCGTCCTGGGTCTTGAGCAAGCCTGGGAGGGGGCGCCAGGAGAGACAGGGTTGGCCTCCTTGGCCCTATTTTTCTGACAGGTACACCGAGGCTTCGTGCCTTTTACACGCTGAGCCCCGTCCCTCCTTCCCTTCTAGGGGTCCCCACCCGTGTGTGCTCAGTGGGCGGGGCGGGGCCGTGTCCCACTTCACAGCAGGCGGCCTCTCCCCCTCTCCCCTCCAGGTGACTTGGGGCCACGCAGCCAAGGGCCCTGTTTGTTCAATCTACTTTTCCAAGAGGGGCCAGGAATCAGAATTGTCATGGGACAGCCGAGACCGGTTTGGCTCAATGGATAGAGCGTCGGCTTGGGGACTGAAGGGACCCGAGTTCGATTCCGGTCAAGGGCATGTACCTTGGTTGTGGGCATATCCCCAGTAGGGGGTGTGCAAGAGGCAGCTGATCGATGACACTCTCTCATTGATGTTTCTAACTCTCTATCTCTCTCCCTTCCTCTCTGTACAAAATCAATAAAATATATATATGTATATATATATATATATATATATATATATATATGTATATATGTATATATATAAAGAAAAAAAAAGAAAAAAGAAGAATGGTCATGGGACCTCTCCCAGTTGCTCAGCGTTGGCACCTAATGAAAAAGCTCTGCACACACACTCGCGCTGGCCACACACACGCCTGTGGCTTACACCGGAAGGCGATTGCCTCTGAGTCCTGGAGGCCAGAGGTGGTTCCCGGCGGAGGTGTCCCCGGGGTTGGCTCCTCCGGGGATCAGCGAGGAAGGCTCTGCGCCAGCCGGGCCTCCCTCCTGCCGGGGACCGCGGTGTTCCTGGCTCGTAAACACCTCGCCCCAATCTCCGCTGCCATCTCTGCATGGTGTTCTCCCCGCAGCGGGCGCGTCAGGTCCCAGTGTCCCCTTTTTTGTAAGGACACTCACTGGTCATGTTGGATCAGGGCCACCCTAATGACCTCATTTTCATTTGATTACATTTCTGGAGGCCCTGTGTCCAAATAAGGCCATGTTCTGAGCTCCTGGGGGTCAGGATGCTAACATATGAACATGGGGGAGTGTGGGGGGGAGCGTGTTCTGTCCAGAAATACCCATAACAGGAGGGAAGACGCCCCAGCAGGACACAGGCGCTCTGGCAGCCCCGAGGGCTCCCTCTGCACCCCCCCCCCATGGCTCCTGCCCCCACCCTCTCCTGTGGCCTTTCTGCCTGGACCAGCCAGGCATACGGTCTGATCCAGGCAGGAGTTGTTTTGTGTGTGTGTGTGTTTAATATTTATATCGATAAGTATTTATATTTATATTTATATTTATATCGATAAGACTGTCTGTAGTGCCCCCTGTCCCTCCGGGCACCGTCCATGCACGTAGCCTGGCCATTAATGCTTCAGATCCAATCGAGCCCTGGCCCCCTCTCCCCACGGGGCTCCCGACCCCCTCGTTCGGCCAAGTCAGCGCTGCGGGGACAGTCTCCTGTGGCCGGGGTGCCCTTTCCGGGAGGCTTTACCTGGCCTCCTCTCTCCACCCCACACCCGGTGCATCTTGGGTAGTTGGCAGAAGGCACACGAAACGTGGGGGTCGCTGAGATGATTCGAAAAGGCCACGAGGGAAGCCGTGGGCCTTGCCCTCAGGAGAGCTGGAGGCCGGAGTGGCCCTCGAGCCCAGCGCCCCGCAGGGAGAGGGTGGAGGGGTCCACTGACTCCCAGGGTCTCCCCCAGACTTCATCGACATCGTCAAGGACCCCGTGCCCTCCAACGATTACAAGACGGAAGAGGACCCCAGGCTGTTCCACTCCGTCAAGACGCAGCGGGGGCCGCTGTCGGACAACTGGATCCAGGAGTACAAGCAGCAGGTGTTCCCCATCATGTGCGCCTACAAGCTGTGCAAGGTGGAGTTCCGCTACTGGGGCATGCAGTCCAAGATCGAGAGGTTCATCCACGACACGGGTGAGCACTGGGCACGGCTGCTCCGCCCCTCCTGCAGACCCGCCCTCCTCCCTTCTCTCTCTCCCCTGCCTCCCCGTCATCTCTTCTCCCCCTCCTCCCTCCTCCCCGCCCTCCTCCCTTCTCTCTCTCCCCTGCCTCCCCATGATCTCTTCTCCCCCTCCTCCCTCCTCCCCGCCCTCCTCCCCGCCTGTGTCCCCTCCTGAGCCTGCACTCTCCGGGAAGTGCTCTTCCAGCCTTCCCCACCCCCTCCAGGGCAGGAATCCCCCCCAAATTCAGAATGGCTTCTGAGCAGATGCATTACTGTGGGAGGCCCTCTGTGAGCCAAACCCCACATTCATGGGGGGAACTGAGGCACGGGACAGTGATTTCCTGAAGGCTGCACTGTGACCTGCAACATGCGGCACCCCTCAGCCCTGAGCCTGGGCCGTGGGGCCCTGAGGCCCAACTGATGCCGCCTTCGTCTCTGCCCCCCTCCCTCCTCTGCTTCTGCCCCCCTCCCACCTCCCTCTCTACCCCCTCTCGCCTCCCTCTCTGCCCCCTCTCGCCTCCCTCTCTGCCCCCTCTCACCTCCCTCTCTGCCCCCTCGCCTCCCTCTCTGCCCCCCTCTCGCCTCCATCTCCGCCCCCTCTCACCTCGCTCCTGCCCCCCTCTCACCTCCCTCTCTGCCCCCTCTCGCCTCCCTCTCTGCCCCCTCTCACCTCCCTCTCTGCCCCCCTCTCACCTCCCTCCTGCCCCCCCCTCGCCTCCGTCCCCGCCCCTCCCCCGCAGCGCTGCGGAAGGTGATGGTGCGGGCGCACCGGCAGGCCTGGTGCTGGCAGGACGAGTGGTACGGGCTGAGCATGGAGGACATCCGGGAGCTGGAGAAGGAGGCGCAGCTCATGCTGTCCCGGAAGATGGCCCAGTTCAAGGAGCACGAGGGGGAGCCGGAGGAGCCGTCCAAGGGCGAGGCCGGCCCCGACCGCCCCCCCGGGGAGCCCCCGCAGCCCTGCAGCAGCTCGCTGCCCCCGGCCGGCCGCGGCCTGAAGAAGCAGTGGTCCACGTCCTCCAAGTCCTCACGGTCGTCCAAGCGGGGAGGTGAGCCGCCGGCCCGCGCAGGTCCCTGCCCCTGCTGGACCCCCCGCCCCCCTCCCGCCCGTCCGCTGGGCGGCCGGTCAGTCGGGGGTTTTGCCTTCCAGCCAGCCCTTCCCGCCACAGCATCTCCGAGTGGAGGATGCAGAGTATCGCCCGGGACTCAGACGAGAGCTCGGAGGATGAGTTCTTCGATGCACAAGGTAGGCGGGCTCCCGGACGGCTCCGGGGGCCTCCCCACGAGAGATCTGGGGGTCTGCAAGGGTTCAGGTGTGGGGGTCGAAGCGGCAGATGCCTGTGCACAGTCCTGGGTGAGCAGCTGGGACAGAGGATGAGAGGCTGAGGGAAGGCACCCCTGTCTCAGGCTCACCCCAGCCAGAGGGCAGGATGTACGAGGCCTGGCAGGTGGGGACCGTGCTCTCAGACCCCCCAGCCATGGACCTAGGACCAGAAGGTTTATTTCCTGGTGTGAATTTGTTTCCATGAGAAGTTTCATGAAAGCATACCTTCCTATAATTTTCTGATTTTGTTTTTTGCAATGATTTTTTTTCCATCTGATGTAAAAACTTTAGAAAGTGCAGATACGCAGAAAATGCAAAAAATGCAGAAAATGCAGAAATTCCCCACAGATCCTAAAATAAGCGCAGTGGGCATGCAGCCTCTGGGCCAGGAGAAGCCGACACAAAGCCCTCGCGAGCTGCAGCCCGCCCCTCCTCCCGAGGACAGAGGAGGGGCCTGGGACAGGTGTGGGAGGCGGGTTTCCAGTTTGCAGGTGACAGGCAGGACACAGGCTCAGAGAGGGCCAGGGACTTGCCTCCAGACACACAGCAGGGCAGAGGCAGCACCAGAGGCTTATCCGCAGGCGGGCAGAGGAGCCATCTGGTTATGACATAATTTTTTTTTTTTCCAGAGAGGAAGGAAGAGGGAGAGAGAGAGATAGAAACATCAATGATGAAAGAGAATCATTGATTGGCTGCCGCCACCTGCACTCCCTCCCCCCAACTGGGCATCGAGCCCGCAACCAGGGCACGTGCCCTGACCGGGAATCGAACCAGTGACCTCTTGGTTCATAGGTCGACACTCAACCGCTGAACTACACCCGGCTGGGCTATGGCATCTTTTTAAAAAAAAAAAAAAATTTTTTTTTATTGATTTCAGAGAGAAAGGGAAGGGGGAGAGAGAGAGAAACACCAGTGATGAGAGAGAACAGTGATTGCTGCCTCCTGCACGCCCCCTACTGGGGATCAAGCCCGCAGCCCCAACACATGCCCTGACTGGGAATCCAGCCGTGACCTCCTGGTTCATAGGGTGACACTCACCACTGAGCCCCACTGGCCGGACTAATTGCAGTATCTTAGTTAACTGGCCTCAGGGGAAAGAGCTTGGGGGAGAGGGGGTGTCCCGGCAAAGGCAGGTGCCCGGTTTGGCCTTGGGGGGGGTGGGGGTGCTGAGAAGAGATGCCTCTGCACTGGGGGGTCCCGGGCTTGGGGTGGGGCAGGGTGTTTGGGAGTCTCATCCCTGAGCCTGGCCTGGCTGTGCCCCGGCGTGAGGAAAACACCCACCTCCGGCAGAAACGTTAGAAAAAGCCCGGAGAGAGAGGAGGCGGGCCCGAGGGAGAAGCCAGAGTGGCAGTGCCCTGGGGAGGACCGCCCCACGTGACCCACCGCGGGGCCCGGTGAGGGTCACAGCGGGCGTCTCGGGCGGAACCGCTCACAGCCGCGCTCCTCTCGACGCCGTCCTGTGTGGAGGTCGGAACGGTCGGGAGCGCCAGCCGACTGGCGGCCCTTCCACCCGGCGCACAGGGCCTGGGCATAAAGTGCGTGGACTCTGAGAGCGGGATGCCGAGGGGAAGACCGGCCTATGAAGGCCCCATGCTCCACGGCCCGCGCTGAGGGATCGGTCCAGACAGAAAGCGGGGTGGTGGGGGCTGGGGGCTGGAGGAGGGAGGAAGGGGGGATGGCTATTAACGGGGACAGGGTTTCCTTTGGGGTGATGAAAGTGTTCTGGTGCCCGGCCAGTGTTGCTCAGTGGTTTGAGCATCAACTATGGACCAGGAGGTCGCTGGTTTGGTTCCCGGTCAGAGCACATGCCCTCATTGCAGGCTGGATCCCCCGTGTGGGGCGTGGAGGAGGCAGCAGACCAGAGTTTCTATTGGGTCGGCAGCTAAGTAATTGCGGGTTTCACACACATATGGCTTCAGTTGAATTTTTAGGTTTGCAGACGTAGTACAAATGTAAAACACATTTTGTTATTTGATAGTTGGCTATTCAGCTGTTAATCAGTGAAAAAAGTTTTTTGATCTGTTTTGTAGTTTTCGTTTGGCGTTCGTTGAAAAATGGAAAATCAAAAGGAACATTTTCGTCATATTTTGCTTTTTTATTTCCGCAAGGGAAAAACGCATTGCAAGCTCATAAAAAGTTATGTGCTGTTTATGGTGACGAAGCCTTAAAAGAACGGCAGTGTCAAAATTGGTTTGCCAAATTTCGTTCTGGTGATTTTTCACTCAAAGATGAAAAACGCTCTGGTCGTCCAGTTGAAGTTGATGACGCCCTAATCAAAGCAATAATCAATTCGGACTGTCACAGTACAACACGTGAGATTGCAGAGAAGCTTCATGTATCACATACATGCATTGAAAATCACTTGGCTATGTTCAAAAACTCGATACATGGGTTCCTCACGAACTGAAAGAATCAGTTAATGCAACGCATTAGCAGCTGCGATTTGCTAAAGAAACGTAATGAAAATGATCCATTTTTAAAACGACTGATAACTGGCAATGAAAAATGGGTTGTTTACAACAATATCAAGCGGAAAAGATCGTGGAGCAGGCCAGGTGAACCAACTCAAACAACATCAAAAGCTGATATTCATCAAAAGAAGGTTTTGTTATCAGTTTGGTGGGATTACAAAGGAATTGTCTACTTTGAACTCTTACCACCCAACCGAACGATCAATTCTGATGTCTACATTGAACAACTAACGAAATTAAACAATGCAGTTGAAGAAAAGTGGCCCGAATTGACAAATCGAAAAGGTGTTGTATTCCATCATGACAATGCAAGGCCACACACATCTTTGGTCACTTGGCAAAAATTAATGGAGCTTGGTTGGGATGTTTTGCCACATCCACCATCTAGTCCTGACCTTGCACCATCTGATTACTTTTTGTTTCGATCTTTACAAAACTCCTTGAATGGTAAAAATTTCAATAATGATGATGATGTCAAATCGTACCTGATTCAGTTTTTTGCTAATAAAAACCAGAAGTTTTTTGAACGTGGGATTATGATGCTGCCTGAAAGATGGCAAAAGGTCATTGATCAAAATGGGCAATACATTACAGAATAAAGTTATTTAGTTCCATGAAAAAATTGTCTTTGATGTTCTTTAAAAAATCCGCAAGTACTTAGTTGCCGACCCAATATCTCTTTATCTCTCTCCCCGTCTCTAAAATCAATAAAAACGGATGAATGATTAAGTAGAAGGTCTCACCTTAAAAAGAAAGAAAGACGAGAACGTGTTCTGGAACTAGATCGAGGTGGCGGTTGCACAGCCCTGTGAATGTACTAAGTGCTGCTTTTAAAACGGCTTAAATGGTGACCTTTACAATATGTGAATGTTACAGTTTTTGCTTTGTTTTTAAATTTTTATTGTTGAAAGTGTTACATGTGTCTCCTTTCCCGCCCCATTGACCTCTCCCAGTCCTCTCCCACCTACTACAACTTTTTTTTAAAAGGTCAGGCAGCCCTAGCCGGCTTGGCTCAGTGAATAGAGTGTCGGCCAGCAGATGGAAGGGTCCTGGGTTCGATTCCAGTCAAGGGCAGGTGCCTGGGTTGCAGGCTCGATCCCCAGTAGGGGGCGTGCAGGAGGCAACTGATCAATGATTCTCATCATTGTTGTTTCTCTCTCTCCTCCCTTCCTCTCTGAAATCAATAAAAATATATTAAAAATAAAATAAAAGGTCAGGCAGCAGCCCCATGATGGGCGTGCGGCCGTGTGTCCGTCTCTGAAGGAACGGGGAGAGCCGAGCCCAGCACGGAGCAGCACGTGGGCCAGAGAAACATGGGAGACCCCAGAGCTACCACGCCCAGGCGCCCCACCTGCGGGGACGGGCCTCCCAGCACCCCGCCCCCCAGTCCCTGTCCCCCAACAGTGTGCTGAAGCCCCTCTCTCCTCCCCAGAGGACCTGTCCGACTCAGAAGAAACCTTCCCCAAGGACATCAGCAAGTGGAACTCCAATGACCTCATGGACAAGATCGAGAGCCCCGAGCTGGAGGACACGCAGGGTAGCTGGCTGGCGCTGCAGGGCCGCTGGGGGGGGGGGGGGGGCACGAGGGCGGGGGAGCCCTCCTCTCTGACCCAGCTCCGGGGCCTGGGGGCAAGGTGGGGCGAGGGAAACTCTGGGCCCCCCTGATACCCTGAAGCCTCTGTCTGGTGGGGCCCGTGGCCGGCCAGTTGCCCCCCTGCTCAGCGGACCCCCCCCGCCCCTTTCTGTGTTGCAGACGGGCTGTACCGGCAGGCCACCCCCGAGTTCAGGGTGGCCTCCAGCGTGGAGCAGCTGAACACCATCGAGGTGGGTGCCCAGGGGGCAGAGGGTGGGGGCTGTGCTGCCGGGGGTCCCCAGAGCTGCCAGGGGGAAATGGAGGCAGGACCTGGCACCCACAGCTTCACTCGCCCCCCCCCCGGCCCCGCCCCCGTTGATGTCCCCGAGGACTGGCAGGGATGGTAGGCGGCCCCTGACCCAGCGCCTCCCGGGGAGAGTAAAATGAGACACTTGTAAATTCCAGACCAAACGTAAGACCACCCTGAGCTCAGCCTTCCTGCACTTCCTGAAGAAAAGATGGAAGGGGAGGAAGCGAAAGCCACCTAGGCAGAAGTGATGTGGCCGGCGGCCGCCGCCCTGCTGGGGAGGGCTGAGGGGGGGGGCTCTGAGCGCCCAATAAAGCTGTGTCCGCAGAGCGCCTGTGTCTGCTTTGGGGGTTCTTGGCACCAAGCTCAGGCCCCTCCGCCCCCGCCCGCGGGTGGTCAGAGCTGTTTGCACTGGGGCAGGGCCCGGCCCGGCAGGACCGTCACTCCCTGCAGCCACCGCCCTGCTCTGGCCTCAGGCTGCCCAAGGTGCAGACGGGCCCTGGGGACAGGGACCCGGGGAGTTCGGATGGGTTTGTGGGAGGAAGGAGCGTCCATGCCACCCTGCCCCGCTCTTGGGGTTTTCTGCTGTGAGGTTTTAGGTCCGATGGGTTTTTCCAGAGAAGTGACTGGTATCTGGGGTGTTGGGGTATCGATTTTCATTCGCTGGTTCCCGGCAATAAAGCAGAGGCCCATCCCCAGCCACGTGGCACACAGCTCTGACCCCCGGGAGGGGCGGGGGCGGGGGGGCCGTGCTCGAGATGGGCCGAGGGTGTGTCTGGTGGCCCCGCGAGGGGCCAGATCCCCTTTGCCGGCAAGAGCCCCCAAACCGGAGCCTCCAAGCCCGGCCTTGCGGGAGGAGGTGGCTTTCCAGGGCCTGTCGCCCCCATACTGTGGGCTCTGTTCCCACGGGGATCACGGCCCCAGCAGGGCGTGCCCCTCGGAACGCAGGCTCACGTGGGAGAAGCTGGGTCTGAGGCTGACCCCCGGGGGCCCCCGAACGGTCCCACGAGGACACACGGGCAGGATTCCTCAGCTCTCCCCCCGCCCCCCCGCCCCCTCCTCCCCGCTGCCCAACCCTGCCCTACCCCGTGGCCCCGTCTTGACCTGTGGTCTCACCATGAATTCGTTCCTGCCCCACGGGCGGGCAGCAGCAGGCAGTCCTTGTATGGGGGACAGGTGTCGCCCCCAAACTGCGTCCAGGCCCAGTGGCCCACAACTGGCCAATGACCAGTCCCCTCTTGAGGGTAAGGCAGCCCAGCCGCCCTTCCTCTCTCACCCGGAGCCTGTGCTGGCCTGTGTCGCCCCCTCGCCCTTCCTGGCAGCCTCCCCAGCCCCAGGGCCAGGGCCCAGCCCTCTCCCAGGCTCCGTGCTGACACGTGGGTCCTGCTGCCGCCCCGCCTCCTGCCACCGGAGGCCCAGCTCACGCCCCCCTCATGCGACTCAACTCCTGTTCTGGGCTCCGGCTCCTTGGGGACAGGCTTCTCTCCTCACTCAACTCCCTCCCCCACCCCCACGCCTCCCAGCATAATGGGACACACAGTGCTCACCAGTGGCTCCTCCTTGCCCCCCCCCCTTCCCCGTCACACTGGGAGCTGTGCCCGGAGAGGCCTGCGGGTGGCGTCCCGGCCTGGGGTGGCCGCAGCTCTGGTTCCGGTCCAGGCGTCTCTGCCTCTGGGCCCTTGGTCTCGTGGAAAGTCAAGAAATGGCAGGGTTTGGGGGCTGTGGAGCCAGGGGAGGGGCCCCATGTAGATGGGGGAGAGCTCAGAGCTGCTGGCAGAGGGGCCTTGTGACTCGCAGCGGCCATACCTGCGGGGCCCGAGACAGACCCGGGCCTGGACAGGACACACCGAGGGCAGCGACTCCCGCTGAAGACCTGGACCGGGCCCTTGGAGCGAGGAGCTTCGTCGCGGGGGTGGGGGGAGTTGACACCTGCCCCCTCGCCCACGCAGGACGAGGTCAGCCCGCCGCTGGCCATGCCGCCCTCCAAGATCCACGTGCTGCTGCTGGTGCTGCACGGGGGCACCATCCTGGACACGGGCACCGGGGACCCCAGCTCCAAGCAGGGCGACACCAACACCATCGCCACCGTGTTCGACACCGTCATGCGCGTGCACTACCCCAGCGCCCTGGGCCGCCTGGCCATCCGCCTGGTGCCCTGCCCGCCCGTCTGCGCCGACGCCTTCGCCCTGGTCTCCAAGTGAGTGCGCAGGTCTGCGGCCGCCTGCCCCCCCTCCACCCTGCTCCCCTACCCCCGGCCCCCCATGTTGGGACATCTGTCTGGACGTCCAGACAGGCCATCCAGGCCGTTCTGCCCAGAGGTGGCAAATGGCCGGGCCTTTGTGTCCCCTCCTGGGGGTGCTCACCTGGCACCCAGACTCGGGGCCTCACTCCCCAGCCCTGCCCCCCGCCCGCCAGGGACGGGCCTGCTGAGTCCTGGCTGAGGCTCTCCGCGCAGGGCAGGGGAGAGGGGCTCCATCCAGGGCTGACCCGAGGCCACGACTCTGTCCTGACCGGGCCCCCTCCCCCAGCCTCAGCCCCTACAGCCACGACGAAGGCTGTCTGTCCAGCAGCCAGGACCACATCCCCCTGGCCGCCCTGCCCCTGCTGGCCACCTCCTCGCCCCAGTACCAGGAGGCGGTTGCCACGGTGATCCAGCGGGCCAACCTCGCCTACGGGGACTTCATCAAGTCCCAGGAGGGCGTGACCTTCCACGGGCAGGTGAGCCGTGGGGTCCGGCGGCGGGGTTGGGGTGGGGTGGGGCCTGCCTGGACCCCGGGCCCGGCCGTGACGGGCGCCCCGGTTCTCCCCGGCCTGCGTCTCAGCCCCGAGGCCCCTCTCCCTCTCTCCAGGTGTGCCTGATCGGGGACTGCGTGGGGGGCATCCTGGCCTTCGACGCCCTGTGCTACAGCAGCCAGCCGGTGTCCGAGAGCCAGAGCAGCAGCCGCAGGGGCAGCGTGGCCAGCGTGCAGGTACCGGGGACGGAAGCTGGGGGGCCAGGGGGGATGGGGGGCAGGGTTGTCCTCTCTCTGGCTTGTTGAGAGCCTGGCCGGGCAGGGGGCCTGCCGTCAGGAGGGACGGCCCGGAACGGGGGCAGGCCAGCCGCCTCCTGGCAGTGAGCCTGCGTGGGCTGTTCCAGGACACTGACCTGCTGTCCCCGGGCATCCTGGTGAACTCGTCGCACAGCGGCGGCGGCGGAGGCAGTGGCGGAGGAGGCGGCGGCGGAGGAGGCAGCGGCGGAGGAGGCAGTGGCGGAGGAGGCAGTGGCGGAGGAGGCGGCGGCGGAGGAGGCAGTGGCGGAGGAGGCGGTGGCGGAGGAGGCGGCGGCGGAGGAGGCAGTGGCGGAGGAGGCGGTGGCGGCGGCAGCAGCCTGGAGAGCAGCAGGCACCTGAGCCGCAGCAGCATCGACATCCCCCGTAGCAACGGCACCGAGGACCCCAAAAGGCAGCTGCCTCGCAAGAGGAGCGACTCGTCCACTTACGAGCTGGACACCATCCAGCAGCACCAGGCCTTCCTGTCCAGGTGGGCGGGGCCGGCGGGGGCTGGGGGTCAGGTCAGGAGGCCCACCGCCAGGGGTGGGGGCGGGGCCGATGTCAGGGTCCAGGGGGCCCCCCAGCCTCCCTGGGCCCGCAGCTCTTCCGCAGGAGAAAGGGGGGGGGGGGTAGGGTACAGTTGTGGTCCTGCCCGTGCTGAGGGCCATCCTGAGCCAGAGGGGACAGAGTGTCTGGGGGAAGGAAGCGGGGGCAGAACTGACCAGGGCAGGCTGGTCCCGGTCAAGGCCGTCCCAAAGGCAGTGGACCCCTTAGAGAGGTGGGACCCTCTGTCCTCAGAGGTGTCCCTGCAGCCCTGGGGCAGCTGCACAGGGGAGGCAGCACAGGGGTGCAGCCTCTTTGGGCCTGAGGACCCCTCAGGGGCCTCCTTCGGGAGCTGAGGGGGCCAGGCCAGCCCAGAGAAGGGCCTCAGTGTGACCTGGCGCCCCCACCCCACCCCCCCAGCCTCCACGCGAGCGTGCTGAGGAACGAGCCCGGCTCCCGCCGCTCCAGCAGCTCCACCATGCTGGACGGCACGGGGGCCCTGGGCCGGTTCGACTTCGAGGTCGCCGACCTCTTCCTCTTCGGGTGCCCGCTGGGGCTCGTCCTGGCCTTGAGGAAGACGGTCATCCCCAGCCTGGATGGTGAGAGCCCTGCGGGGTGCGGCGGGGCGGGTGACACAGGGTCTCCGAGGACCCCTGTCTGGAGGCCATGGTCACGTCCCAGGCCCCTTCCCGTATCGGCCTCTTTTCTTTTTTTTTTGTCCTCCGCATTTCTCCCATGCTCCTGTTCAGCAGCTCAGTCCCTGGCCCCTGTGTCCCATCACCTGCTGTTTCATTTCTTCTCTGAGTCTCTCTCTCTCCCTCCCTCCCCCCTCTCCCCGCCCCCTCAGAGTTGTGGTCCGGATAGGAAAGGGAGCCTTCCGGGGTCAGAGGGGGATAGACGCAGTCTCCCAGGCCCTAGGTCTTCCCAAAAAGGATGCAGCCAGGCACCCCCAAAGCCTTCCTGGCTCAGTGACCTCACAGCCCCGGAGCCGCCACAGCCACGCTGCTCCAGGGACCCTCCTCACGTCTACACGGACAAGGAGGCGGGACGTTCGGGCTGAGCGGTCTGTGAGCCGCGGTCCCTGCCCGGTGCCTGCCCCCAGGACCAGCCAGTGCGGCCCTGCCATCCTCACCGCAGGGCCCCTGTCACAGGCCCCAGGTCACGGGGGGGGAACAGGCTCAGCCAGGGTTAGACACTTGCCCTAGAGCAAGCGGACAGGGCCTGGCGTAGGGACAGTGGTGTTATGTGGAGGGTAATGTGGCAGAGCTACACGTGCTGATGGGAAAGACGCCAGCATTCTGTGTGCTCAATGAAGAAAAGGAAAAAAAAGCAAAGTTCAAAAAGTATAACCTACGTTCCTATCCATGTGTGTGATTTATTTTTACTTCTAAAATATATTTTATTGACTTTCTTACAGAGAGGAAGGGAGAGGGATAGAGAGTTAGAAACATCGATCAGCCGCCTCCTGCACACCTCCTCCTGGGGATGTGCCACCCACCAAGGTACATGCCCTTAGCCGGAATCGAACCCGGGACCTTTCAGTTGCAGGCCGACGCTCTATCCACTGAGCCACACCGGACAGGGCTCATGGTTGTGATTTAAAACTGAACACACATTACCGACAGCTTACACAGATTCCAACCTCTCCCCCCCACCCCCTCACCTCAACCACTCTTCGACAGTGGAGCATCCCTCTGAAACGTTTCATACGCCAGCCAACGTGGCATAAATCAGAGAGGCAATTACCATTAATTTATGTGGGACATTTTTGTGAGCGTTCCCAGACATGAAAATAACCTTCCGAGCGGTACCAAATACGCTTAATTACATCCAGTTTCTACAATAAGCATAACACCCTTCTGAGGTCTCCCGGTCTTCCGACAGCTTAGGGCACGACCCGCTAACAGCTGCGCAGAATAAACCGAGATAAAGCGCAGGTGCTCACCGTCAGCCCTGAGCTCTGGCGGCTGGGAGCTGCCGTGCTGGGGTGGTTGGTTCCCGGAGGGAGCTTGGCAGGGCTCCTCGGCTGCCTCTACAGCAGCTCGTGCAAAACAAACGCTAAGACCTGTCCAGGTGGTTCAGTCGGTTGGTGCGTCGTCCCGTACACCCAAAGGTTGCGGGTTCGATCCCCGGTCAGGGTACGCGCGGGAGGCAGCCAGTCAATGTTTCTTCCTCTTTCTCTCAAATAATAAAAGCCTATTCTCGGGTGAGGATTTACAGATGCTGAACCCTCTTTTCGAGTTTCTTTGTAAAAATGACAGTGTTCTTAGAGTTTTTTGATTTTTTTTTTTTTTTTTTTTTTTTTTTTTTACAGAGAGGAAGAGAAGAGGGATAGAGAATTAGAAACATCGATGAGAGAATCATTGATCAGCTGCCTCCTGCACACCCACTACTGGGGATGTGCCCACAGCCAAGGTACATGCCCTTGACCAGAATCGAACCTGGGACCTTTCAGTCCGCAGGCCGACGCTCTATCCACTGAGCCAAACTGGTTTTGGCATTGGAGTTTCTTTTGGTTAGCGAAATCAGGTACAGATGGTCCCCAACTTAGGATGGTGTGACTTTTGAATTTTTTCAACTTTGTGGTGGTGCAAAAGCGATCCCCGGTCAGTAGAAACTGAACTTCAAATTTTGGCTTCTGATATCCTCCCAGGCTAGCAGTATGTGGTATGGCACTCTCTCATGATGCCACGCGCTATAAAACAAGCTTCATGGAGACTATTTTGCCCAGCCACAGGCCAGACGGAGTGTTCTGAGCATGGTTGGGGGGGGGGGCCGGGCTAAGCCAGGATGGCCGGCAGGTGAGGTGCAGCAAATGCGTTTTCGACTGAAGATGCTTTCCACTTACAGTGCGTTCACTGGGACCTGACCTCATCACAAGTCGTAAGCCGAGGAGCGTCTGTATTAACAGGTCTTTCCTAACAGCAGAGGATGGATGCCTGTGCTTACATTCTGTGTGTGTGTGTGTGTGTGTGTGTGTGCGCGCGCGCGCGCGCTTACATTCTTACATCCATGTGAAGTGGTTGGACTTGCAGCCCATTCTGACAACCTAGGAGACATTTCCAGCCCCAGCAGGCAGGCGCCCTGCTCCACTAGGCATGCGTGAGAGGCTCCAGCCATGGGGCTCGGAGGTGGAAGGCAGCCTTCCATTGAAGCCTTTTCTCATATATTCTTGTATTTGAAAAAGTTTTTTACCATGGTTATTATAAATTTTCAGTTTTGTTGTTGTTGTTGTTAATCCTCACCCCAGGATTTTTAGAGTGTGGAAGGGAGGGAAGGGGAGAGAGAGAGAGAGAGAGAAAGAGAGAGAGAGAGAGAGCGCGCAACATCAGTGCGCACATATCCCTACGCAGGGGAGTAGAGGTGGGTGGAGGGGGCAGAGAGCAAACCCAAAACCCAGATGTGTACCCTTGACAGGGAATCGAACCCGCGATTCTTATGTCTAAGAACCAACACTCTAATTACTGAGAAAAAACTGCCAGGGCTAACTTTTCAATTAAAAAGAAAAGGTTAGCTGAAACTGGTGTGGCTCAGTAGATAGAGCGTCAGACTGCAGACTGAAGGGTCCCAGGTTTAATTCCGGTCAAGGGCATGTACCATGGTTGCGGGCACATCCCCAGTAGGGGGTGTGCAAGAAGCAGCTGATCAATGATTCTCTCTCATCAGTGTTTCTAACTATCTCTTCTCTCTTCCTCTCTATAAAAAAATCAATAAAATATATTTTAAAAAATAAAAAGAAAAGGTTAATAAAAGGAAAATAGTCCAAACAGATCCCAAATTCATAGGCACACTTTCAGGTTTTCCGTATCCGGACCACCAGCCCACCGGCCCTGCTGTAGACCCTGCTCAGTTCTGGACACCCCCCTCCCCAGCTCCAGGCCCCACCCAGTCCTAAGCCCCGCCCCATCTGGCTCCAGGCCCCGCCCTGTTTCTAAACCCCGCCCTGCTCCAGACCCCGCCTTCTTGGGGCGGAGCTGGCTGTCAGGCGACTCCGCCCCTTCCCGCCCCCAGTGTTCCAGCTGCGGCCCGCCTGCCAGCAAGTGTACAACCTGTTCCACCCCGCGGACCCGTCGGCCTCGCGTCTGGAGCCCCTGCTGGAGCGGCGATTCTTTGCCCTGCCGCCCTTCAGCATCCCCCGCTACCAGCGCTACCCGCTGGGGGACGGCTGCTCCACGCTGCTGGGTGAGGACCCCGCGGGCGGCCGGGTGCTGGGGGAGGGTGGTGGGTGGGTGCTCCAGGCCGGGGTGGGCCTGCTGTGCGGGGAAGGGCGGCCTACACTGAACACCTGGGAATCTGGGCATCTGTCTAGGAGAGGGCGCACCGCCCCCCGATCCCAGAGGCTCTCAGCCCCATGCCAGGGGCCCAGACAGGTCCCAACTGCCCGCCGAGGAGGGACTGAGGACCCGAGGGGCTCTGTGCTGAGCCCCCCGTGCCCAACCCAGATATGGGGGCGCAGGATGGGGGGGCACAGAGCAGGCAGGCCTGGGCAGGGAGTGAGTGTGCGAGCTGCCCTCCCAGGGACCGGCCCTGCCCCGCCCACCCACCCCCGCGTGTGCCCCGGTCGTCCTGTCACCTCAAGCCCCGTGTGTCTTGTGTCGGAGCCTGTCCAGACGGTCCACATGAGTGTCTGTTCTTGTCCTCTGTTCTCTCCCCGTCTGCCTCCAGTCGAGACCGTGCAGAGAAACCCCGAGCTGGTCCTGGAGGGCGGCCCCCTGACCCCCCTCCCCGGGGACGGCTTCCTGGAAACCAGTATCCCAGTTCCCGAGCTCACCTGGCAAGACGGGCCCCGCCCGAGCCCGAGCCCGAGCCCGAGCCCGGGCCCGGGCCTGTGCTGAGTGTGTGTAACCCCGTTCGTGATGTGTCTGCTTCCCTGGCTGACGCCGGCCGCAGGCTCCCTCCCGTGCTCCCGGCCACTCGGAGTCTGTGGGGCTGAGGTGGAAGGAGGGGGGCCCGGTGGGTCAGGTCCTGCAGAGCAGGTCCCAGTGCCCGCCCTCTGCACACCGGGGCCGAGCCAGGCGGGGGCCAAAGCCAAGGGGTCCTAGGAGCCCCGAGGGGGGAGCAGCTGCTCAGGGTCACCGAGTGCCAGTCCGAGTTCTCTTTCCACCAGCGTGAGGCTGGCAGGGCAGCCAGGAGGTGGGGTGAGGCCTCAAGCCCCCGGGACTCACCCGTTCCCCAGGGAGAAGCCTTCAGGCCCAGTGAGGGGCTGGATTCTCAGGCCTCACGCCTTCCCTCCCTGAGAAGGCCCGGGCACCTCCTGCACCCCATCCAGACATGGGTCCTTTAGCCAGCCCCTTACCCCAGCTCTGCCCTGCCCTGGGCCGGGCCCAGGTGAGCCTGGTTCAAGCCCTCCGCTCCTGCCTCGGTCAGTGTGGCCCTCGTGTGAGGGATGTATGTGAGGCCTCAGCGTAGGGCGTCCCTGGAAAGCCACCCCAGCCCCTGTTGTTAGCACCCCTCAAACCCAACTGCCATGGGCTGCGGGTGAGGCTGGGCTGGGCCCTGAAAGCTAAGAATGCTAGACTAGACCACGTCAGGGGCGGCGGGGCGGGGGGGGGGGGCAGAGATAAGAAGGATGCCCAGCGGGGGGTAGGGGCTGAGGGGGGGCGTGGCTGCATTGACTCCCTGCCCACTGTGTCTGTGTCGGTCCCCTGTCCATCCTGCCCTGGCCCTCCCTTCCTGCCTCAGCTCCGTGTCCTGTTCCCTCAGCCCTGAGCAGGCAGCCCTGGCACACTTAGGCCCTTCCTCGCTGCCAGCTCTGCTCGTCTGCCGCTGGAGGTGTCAGCCTTGCCTGGCATAGCCTGGCCCCCCCCAGCCCATGCTGGACCCACCCTCCCACCCTCCCTCCCTCCCTCTGCTCGGGGGCTGCAGGCGGGCGAGGCTTCTCTTACCCCCGGGTCTCTGGTCCCTGTCCACCTGCAGCCGAGGCGCTCCAGACCCACAACGCACTCTTCCAAGAGCACACGGCCCCCTCCTCGCCCGGCGCGGGCTCCAGCACCCGGGGCTTCCGCCGAGCCAGCGAGATCAGCATCGCCAGCCAGGTGTCCGGCATGGCTGAGAGCTACACCGTCTCCGGCATTGCCCAGAGTGAGTCCCCTCCCGCGCTGCCCCCTCTGTCCTGCAGGGGGCAGCGTGCGCCCCAGGGAACAGGTGGCAATGTCTGGACACAGCTGGGGAGAGGGTGAGCAGAGGCCAGGGGTGCTGCTGGACGCCCTGAAACGCTCAGGATGCCCCACAATGGAGCGGTCTGGCCCCAGGTGTCCGCGAGGACTCTGGCGGGAAGGAGGGGCGGAAGGGCCGGCCCCGGGGGCCGGTTCCTGGCGGTGGAGGTTGGCGGCACTGGCTCAGAGAACTGGGGGTCAGTGGGCCTGGTCCTAGCCCTTGTGGGGGGGAGGGTGGGGAGGTGGAGGAGGGTGCATGGAGTGTGGGGTGCTCCGTGAGGGAGGAAGCTAAGGGGGGTGTTTCTGGGCAAGTAAGGCGAGCCGGACAGGCGGGGGGCTGGCTGAGGAAGCCAGGGCGGTGAGGCCTCACCGTGGCCCCAGGGGGCAGAGGACATGGCGGCCTTTGCTCGGTGGCCCCTGCCCATCTCAGAAGACTCTCTGCAGCTGGGCGGAGTGCAGGTCACCCCTCTGCGTGCCCCCAGCCGCCGCCCTGCTACTCCCCTGCCCTCAGGCCGGCCGCCTGTCAGAGCCGGGGCCCTGGGCAGAGGCGGTGCCGTCCTGTGAGGAGGGCCCAGGGGCCTGGCATTCATCCTCCCAGCATCCTCCCCGGCCCTGAAGGCAGCGCTGAGGCCGCTCCCTCGTTCTCCTTCTCAGAGGCCCCCGTGCCGCTCAGCCACACCCCCAGCGTCAGGCGCCTGTCCCTGCTCGCCCTGCCCTCCCCACCCCCCTCCACCCCCGGGCCCCGCCCGCAGGCCCGGCGGGCGAACCCCCACCTCCCCGATCTGGACATCAGAGGAGGTACCGGGCGCTTCGCGCCCTCCACCCACACTCGCCGCCTCTCACGGGGTCACCGCTGTTTCCAGGCACCTGTCACCGCTGGGCTCCGCTCACTGCCCGCTGGGGCTTAACCGGGGAGCCAGGGGCCGGGCTGGGAGCACTCGGGCATCCAGGGAGTGGGGGCAGGAGCAGATGGAGTTGGGGGGACACACCCATGGAGCTGGGATGAAGGGGTGGGGGGCCAGGACTGTGGTCAGGCAGCTGGCAGAGGGCAGGGGGACCCCCTTTACTGAGTTACCTGGGCATTTCCTGCATGAGCCTCCTCTCTGTAGACAGGGTGGTCCCAGCCCCTAGTGGGAGTGGAGATTCGCTCGGCCAGTCTGACCTCACCAGCTCCCAGGGGCTGATGGGAAGCCTTTCACAGCCTGAGGCCTGGGGGGGACGGGGGCCAGGGAGAGTGGGGCCCAGGGGAGGGTCACCGGGGTCGGCCACAGGTCCAGGGATAGCGAGTCCTGCCTCCAAAGGCTCTTTCCCGCCCCCTCTGAGCCCACACCCCCTCCTGGGGGCCCCTGGGGCCCCGCCTGCTCGCCCCTGTCCTGGCCCCTGGCCCTCGCCCTGCTCCCGTTACCCAGCCTGGCAGGGGGACTCTCGCTTCGGCTGCTGCCCTTTCCCCGGTGGGAGGAGGGTCTCCGCCTTGGGACTGAGCCCGGACTGAGGGGTCGGGGGACCCTCTGGGGTCCCAGCCCCGTCACCGCCCCCGCCTCGTCCCGGCAGTTGCTGCGAAGTGGTGGGGCCAGAAGCGGATCGACTACGCCCTGTACTGCCCCGACGCCCTGACGGCCTTCCCCACCGTGGCCCTGCCGCACCTCTTCCACGCCAGCTACTGGGAATCCACCGACGTGGTCTCCTTCCTGCTGAGACAGGTACCGGCGCCACGGCCAGGCCCCAGGGGGCTGCTGACGAGGAGGGCGGCGGGCAGCTGCCCTCTGACCCCTGGGACAAGAGCAGGCCCAGAGCGTGGGCACTAGCGGGTTCGAAACCCCCAAACCCTCACAGCTTCCTACTTTTTTAGTGTTTTGTGTTTTTAGAATCCTCACCGGAGGATATTTTTCCACTGATTTTTAATATATTTTATTGATTTTTTTTACAGAGAGGAAGAGAGGGGTAGAGAGTTAGAAACATCGATGAGAGAGAATCATCAATCAGCTGCCTCTTGCACACCCCCCACTGGGAATGTGCCCGCAACCAAGGTACATGCCCTCGACCGGAATCGAACCTGGGACCTTTCAGTCCGCAGGCCGACACTCTATCCACTGAGCCAAACCGGTTTCGGCTCCACTGATTTTTAGAGAGAGAGGAAGGGAGAGGGAGAGACGGAGAGAAACACGGATGTGAGACAGACACATCGATTGGTTGCCTCCCGCATGCCCCCAACCAGGGCTGGGAGCCTGCAACTGAGGTACGTGACCTTGACCGTTATCGAACCCGGGACCCTTCAGTCCACAGGCCAATGCTCTACCCACTGAGCCAAACTGGCTAGGGCTATGCTGTTTTATAATTGATTTCAGGAGAGGAAGAGAGAGAGAAGCATCAATGATGAGAGAGAATCACTGATGGGTTGCCTGTTGCACACCCTCTACTGGGGATCAAGCTCGCAACCCGGGCATGTGCCCCGACCAGGATTGGAACCGTGACCTCCTGGTTCCTGGGTCCCTGAGCCACACCGGCTGGGCCACAGCTTCCTGCTTCCGGGCCCTGGAACAGGAGGCCCAGGCTCGAGCCTGCTCCGTGTGCCCTCTCCCTGCTCCCTCCCAGGTCATGAGGCACGACAACTCCAGCATCTTGGAGCTGGACGGCAAGGAGGTCTCGGTGTTCACACCCTCGAAGCCGAGAGAGAAGTGGCAGCGCAAGAGGACCCACGTGAAGCTGCGGGTGAGGGTCCCGGGGGCTCGGGCCCCGGCCTGTCGTCCTGTGGAATCCCCACAAGGAGACCCGTCTGACAGATGCAGTGACTGAGTTCCCGGAAGCGCGCTCTTTTACCCTCCCATCTGTGAGGCCGGAGCCAGGACCCCACTTTCCGGCGGGGAAGTGCAGCGGGCTCCCCCATTTCCCCATTTCCCCGTGGCTGAGCTGGACTTGAACCTGGGCTTTCTGGCCTTAAGCCCAGCTCCCCCCACACAGGCCCACGGGAGGCCTGAGCAGAGCCCTGGAGATACCAACCGCCTCTCCACGCCCCCCACCCTGACCCCGCCCTCCCCTCCCCGCCCCTTCCCAGAACGTGACAGCCAACCACCGGATCAATGACGCCGTCGCCAACGAGGACGGCCCGCAGGTGCTGGCGGGCCGGTTCATGTACGGGCCCCTGGACATGGTCACCCTGACGGGGGAGAAGGTGAGGACATTGGGGCGGGGGAGACGGCGGGAGCCCCTGCCTGCCGCCCTGTGGCCGGGGGTGGGGGTGGGAGGCCGGCGGCACGGCCCACTCCTGACCAGCCTGCCCGGCCCCAGGTGGACGTGCACATCATGACGCAGCCGCCCTCGGGGGAGTGGCTGTACCTGGACACGCTGGTGACCAACAGCAGCGGGCGCGTGTCCTACGCCATCCCTGAGACGCACCGCCTGGGCGTGGGCGTGTACCCCGTGAAGATGGTGGTCAGGTGCGCGCCTCGGTGGGGCGGGCGGGCGGGCGGGGGTGTCCTCCTCAGGGACCGGAGGGAGGGGCTGCGGTGAGTTCTGATGAGCCGCTCCCCTCCCTCCCTCCCAGGGGAGACCACACGTTTGCCGACAGCTACATCACCGTGCTTCCCCGAGGCACGGAGTTCGTGGTCTTCAGCATCGACGGCTCCTTTGCCGCCAGCGTGTCCATCATGGGCAGCGACCCCAAAGTGCGGGCTGGCGCCGTGGACGTGGTGCGGTGAGTGGGCCCGGGTGCCAGAGCAGGGGACGTTTGGCAGGGACCTTGAAGGTAGCACCGCCTCTTACTAGCTCTGTGACCTTCACTTGACCTCTTTTTACTTAATATATTTTACTTATTTATTTTTAAAATGTATTTTATTGATTTTTTACAGAGAGGAGGAGAGAGGGATAGAGAGTTAGAAACATCGATGAGAGAGAAACATCGATCAGCTGCCTCTTGCACACCCCCTACTGGGGATGTGCCCGCAACCAAGGTACATGCCCTTGACCGGAATCGAACCCGGGACCTCTCAGTCCGCAGGCCGATGCTCTGTCCACTAGACTAAACTGGTTTCGGCTTGACCTCTTTTTAAAAAAATGTTTTTTTTAATTGATTTCAGAGAGGAAGGGAGAGGGACAGAGATAGGAACATCAATGATGAGAGAGGATCATTGATTGGCTGCCTCCTGCATGCCCCACCCTGGGGATTGAGCCCTCAACCTGGCTGTGTGCCCTGACCAGGAACCGTGACCTCCTGGTTCATAGGTCGACGCTCAACCACCTAGCCACGTCAGCCCGGCTTCATTTGCCCTTTTTTTTTTTTTTTTTTTTAAATATACTTTTATTGATTTCAGAAAGGAAGGGAGAGGGAGCCATAGAAACATCAATGATGAGAGAATCATTGATTGGCTGCCTCCTACAGGCCCCTACTAGGGATCGAGCCCACAACCTGGGCACCTGCCCTTGGCCAGAATCAAACCCGGCAACCCTCAGTCCACAGGCTGCGCTCTATCCACTGAGCCGCACCAGCGAGGGCTTGTTGGGCCTCTTGGTGTTGGTGCTTCAGGCCCCTGGCTGGGAGGCGGCCCTCACAGACCAGGCGCTCTGTGGGACGGTGTGGCTTAGGCGTGGGTGCTACCCTGGGGCCGCCACCGTTGTTGTTACTGTTACTGTCGGAGCCGGCGCAGAGGTGCCCCCTCCCGTGGCTGGCCAGGTGGCAGGGTCCCGGAAGGGGCACGGGGTGGCTGTGGGACGCAGGCCTGCCCCTCGCTCCTCAGGCACTGGCAGGACCTGGGCTACCTCATCATCTACGTGACGGGCCGGCCCGACATGCAGAAGCAGCGGGTGGTGGCGTGGCTGGCCCAGCACAACTTCCCCCACGGCGTGGTGTCCTTCTGCGACGGCCTGGTGCACGACCCGCTGCGGCACAAGGCCAACTTCCTGAAGCTGCTCATCTCCGAGGTGGGGCGGGGCGGGCGGCGCGGGGCGGGGCGGCGCGGGGCGGGGCGGGCGGCGCGGGGCGGGCGGCGCGGGGGGGGGCGGGCGGGGGGAGGAGGAGCCGCCGTGCCCACACCCTCTCCCCCGCAGCTGCACCTGCGCGCCCACGCGGCCTACGGCTCCACCAAGGACGTGGTGGTCTACAGCTCCATCAGCCTGTCCCCCATGCAGATCTACATCGTGGGCCGGCCCACCAAGAAGCTGCAGCAGCAGTGCCAGGTGAGCGGGCGGGGGGAGAGCAGTGCCAGGTGAGCGGGCGGGGGGAGAGCAGTGCCAGGTGAGCGGGCGGGGGGGGGGGAGAGCAGTGCCAAAAGGGGTGAGCGGGCGGGGGAGTGGGAGAGCAGTGCAGGTGAAGCGGGCGGGGGGTAGCAGTCCAGGTGAGCGGGCGGGGGGGGGATGGGAAGTCAGTGCCAGGTGAGCGGGCGGGGGGGGGGAGCAGTGCCAGGTGAGGCGGGCGGGGGGAGCAGTGCCAGGTTGAGGAGGGCGGGGGGGAGAGCAGTGCCCGGTGAGCGGCGGGGGGGGGATAGCAGTGGCCAGTGGGCGGTGGGGGGGGGGAGAGCAGGCAGGTTGAGCGGCGGGGTGGGCGGGCGGGGGGAGAGCTAGTGCCAGGTGGAGCGGGTCGGGGGGGGGGAGGCGTAGAGCAGTGACAGGTGAGCGGGCGGGGGGGGGAGAGCAGTGCCAGGTGAGCGGGCGGGGGGGGGGAGCAGTGCCAGGTGAGAGGGCGGGGGGAGAGCAGTGCAGGTGAGCGGGGCGGGGGGGGGGGGAGAGCAGTCCAGGTGAGGTGAGCGGGCGGGGGGCGTGGGAGGAGACAGTGCCAGGTGAGCGGGCGGGGGGAGAGCAGTTGCCAGGTGAGCGGGCGGGGGGGGGGAGAGACAGTGCCAGGTGAGGGGCGGGCGGGGGAGAGCAGTGCCAGGTGAGCGGGGGCGGGGGGGGGGGGCAGGGGAGAGCAGTGCCAGGTGAGCGGGCGGTGGGGGGGGGGAGGGGAGAGCAGTGCCAGGTGAGCGGGCGGGGGGGGGGGGTGAGAGCAGTTGGCAGGTGAGCGGGCGGGGGGGGGGGAGAGAGCACGTGCCAGGTGAGCGGGCCGGGGGGGGGGGGAGAGCAGTGGCCATGTGAGGAGCGGGCGGGGGGGGAGAGCAGTGTCCAGGTGAGCGGACCGGGGGCGGGGGGGGGGGGAGAGCAGTGCCAAGGTGAGCGGGGCGGGGGGGGGAGAGCATTCCCAGGTGGAGCGGGCGGGGGGGGGGGGAGAGCAGTGGCCAGGTGAGCGGGCGGGGGGAAACAAGTGCCAGGTGAGCGGGTGGGGGAGAGGCAGTGGCCAGGTGAGCGGGGCCGGGGGGGGGAGAGCAGTGCCAGGTGAGCAGGGCGGGGGGGGGGAGAGCAGTGCAGTGAGATGGGCCGGGGGGGGGGGAGGAGCATGCCAGGGAGCGGCGGAGGGGGGGGGGACAAGTGCCAGGTGAGGCGGGTGGGGGGAGAAGCAGTGCCAGGTGAGCGGTGGGGGGAGAGCAGTGCCAGGTGAGCGGGGCGGGGGGAGGGGGGGGAGAGCCAGGTGAGCGGGGCGGGGGGGGGGGGGAGAGCAGTGCCAGGTGAGCGGGCGGGGGGGGGGGGGGGAGAGCAGGCCAGGTGAGGGGCGGGGGGGGGGGGAGCAGTGCCAGGTGAGCGGGCGGGGGGGGGGGGAGAGCAGTGCCAGGTGAGCGGGCGGGGGGGGGGGGGGGAGAGCAGTGCCAGGTGAGCGGGCGGGGGGGGGGGGGAGAGCAGTGCCAGGTGAGCGGGCGGGGGGAGAGCAGTGCCAGGTGAGCGGGCGGGGGGGGAGGGGGAGAGCAGTGCCAGGTGAGCGGGCGGTGGGGGAGCAGTGCCAGGTGAGCGGTGGGGGGTGGGGGGCAGCACAGGGCAGGGGGGGAAGGCGGGGGGCCGCCGCCCTCACGGCCCCTCCCCCGCAGTTCATCACGGACGGCTACGCGGCCCACCTGGCCCAGCTCAAGTACAACCACCGGGCGCGGCCGGCCCGCAACACGGCCACCCGCATGGCGCTGCGCAAGGGCAGCTTCGGCCTGCCCGGCCAGGGCGACTTCCTGCGCTCCCGCAACCACCTGCTCCGGACCATCTCGGCCCAGCCCAGCGGGCCCGGGCTCAGGCACGAGCGGACGCAGAGCCAGCCGGACGGCGGCGAGCAGCGAGGCCAGCGCAGCATGAGCGTGGCGGCCGGCTGCTGGGGCCGGACCATGGCCGGCCGGCTGGACCCGGGGGCGGCCGCGGGCCCCAAGTAGGGCGCCTGCGTGAGGTGCTGCGGGCTCCATGGTGCTAGGCCGGGCGCCGCCCACCAGGAGGCCTGGCCGGGCACACGCGGCGGCTGGGGACAGACTTGTCCCGGGGCCCAGCAGAGGACACGGGCCACACCGGCCCTCCCAGCCCTGCCTCGCGCCCCAGGGCCTTCAGCGGTCCCCGTTGGAAGCTGGCGGGACAGCCAGCCCCAGGACGGCAGAGGGGCCGGGACCCCCCTGCGGCCCCGCCTTGAAGGTTCTCCTGGAGCGTCCGGACGCCAGGCCTGGGCCCTGCCTGCCACCTCCCTGGCCACTAGCTTGCCCGACCCCCACGTGCCCTCCCGCCGGGTCGCAGCTGCTGCTTGCTGACGGGGGTTCGCTCTCCAGCCTCGCTGGTTCTGCGCTGGTCTTTGCGAGCAGAGGCCCGTTGTCCTCCCCTGTGGCTGCAGACGTGTTCGCCAGCGCGAACAGTCACCTTCTGTGGAACCAGGACCTCCTGCCACAGGGAAGGCCCCAGGGCAGCACACCCTGTGCGAGCAGGAAAGAGAGGCCATATCTTAATCTCTGCAGCTCCGCCTGGAGCCCGGGGCGGCCTGGCACAGCCCGGCCGCCTCTCCCAATCCTCACCTCGGCCTGGCCCGGCCCGCCCGCGTTTCTACACCTTTCTACTTCTCCGATCTGATTTCTACGAGGTTTTTTTAAACGAGCAATCCCAGGCTGCTTCCTTTTCTTAACTCTCGCAGCACCAAGCGCAGCCCCTCCACACGGAGACACCCAGCACTGTGAGGGAGTCCAGCCTGGCTCGGGGGCCCAGGCCGGCCTCCTGCCCCACCCGACCCGTTAGTCCCACGGGATTTCTACTCGGATGGGTGGGCACACACTTAGGTTTTTCTTAACGCCAGTTCCGGTCCCACGCCGAGTGTAAGAAGCCATGGCTCCTGTCGGTAGCTCGAGGGCAGGCAGCTACAGCTTCCCGTGCTCCCCGGCCCAGACCACGCCGGCCTGCACCGGTCTGCGCGCCAGCCCTCCCGCCCAGGCCCGGCTGTGATCTCAGCTGTGGCGCTCGGCGGCCCCTCAGCAGCTCCTCCACCTTCTCCAAGGCCATCCAGCCGGAGGCTCCGGATCTGAGAAGCTGCTGCCGGCCTGGGCACGGCCCCGGGGCCTCTCGGGCTGGGGTGTGGAGGGGCCCCGCCCGCCGTTCACATTCCCCCGAGTGTAGATATGTACAAAGGGCCGTGTAAATGTTCTTCGAGGGGGGCCTACACAGAGTGAAGCTATTTATTTTGTGCAGAGGAAACTGTCTGGAGGACGGACCTTCAGGTGTATCCGTATTTAAGATGTAGCTTTTTTTGTTGTTTTGGGCGTTCTGTATAAAGCACCGGCTGTTTTATAGACTGAGTCCTAACGTCACTGTTGCAGTGGAAGTGCAATATCTGACCCCTGCTCCCCAGGGGGATTGCTCGGCCGACAATCAGCCCCGCCAGGGGCCCGGTGGCCAGTGCCGCGGCCTCCACCGGCCCCGCCTGGCCCCCGCCTGGATGACTAGCCACCGGAGACGTGCCTGGAAGAGCTCGGCCCGCCTGCAATAACGGCCGAGGCTCCTTGGCCGGGGGAGGCCATGGGCAGGGGGCTGGCCTCTCCCAGCGGGCAGCCCCCCGCAGCTCTGCGCTCCCGCCTTCCTGCCCGGCCGCCGGCAGCCATGCCGAGGACAACAGCAATAGCCGGGCCTCTCCTCAGCCATAGACGCTGCGGCGGGCGGCCAGCCTCCCGCCTCCCGCCGTCTCCCGCGCCCAGGTGTGCTTCCTGCCTCCCTGATCTTCCCGCAGGCACAGCCTCCTCCTGAGGAAGCACCGGTTTCTCAGAAACGGAGAGGGAGAGCAGAGTCCTTTAAAAAATACCAAAAATGTTTACAGCGTCGGGTGCTGAGCTGAGGGCTCAGGCCTGACGGGTCGTCACCAAAGGGTGAGGCGGGCCTGTCAGGGTGGCCGCCTTTGCCCGCTCCCAGCCCCGCCCCCGCCCCCGCCCCCGCCCCTCCTGGATCTTCAGAGAGGGAGTCAGCAGAGACCCACCCGCCAGCCACGTTGGTCTACGTCTCAGCCCCTCCTGTCTGTCTGCCTGTCCAGGCCGTGTGTGAGCAGTGTCCTGACTCCCCCGCGCCCCCACCCTCGCTGTCCCTGCACCATCGGGCCTGAGTGTGCTCTGTATCCAGTGCCATTGTCTGATTGTCCGTCACACCAATTAAAGGAGCTCCAAGGCTTCCTCCTGGGCCTCGTTACTGCACCAGCCACCAGAGCAGTGGGGGCTGGGAGGGGGAGGGGAGGGCGGGCGCAGGGCCTGTGCCGTACGTACTCTGCGCCAGCGGCTCTCGTGGGAGCTGGACCACCGGCCCAGCACAGGGACCTTCGGGCTGGGCGCGCAGGGGGGGAGGGAATCGGGTTAAAGAGCCCAGTCTCCAGTTCGGGATGCGGCTGGGGTGGGTGGGGGTGCCCCAGGCGGGCTCACTGAGGATGAGCGCGACCACCAGGTACACCCGCTCCCCCTGCGGTGGCGGCCCCCTCCTCTCCTCCCTCCACACGAGCAGCAGCGCACACGACGTCTCAGCCGGGACGTTTAATGCGACAGCCGGGGGCAGGGAGCCGAGCGGGACAGGGACGGAGAGGCGGCTGCACGGAGGCCGGTCCACAGGAGCGAGGACGCACGGCACCCACGTGGCCGCCTGCTGCCCACCCCGTCACGCCACCGACATCGCCCACGGACCCCGGTCGGCGGGGCCTCAGGGCAGCAGCCCCGCTCGCATCTGGAAGGCCAGGCCGTCCCCTCGGGTGGCTTGCTGGGTGAGAGAGCACAGGGGAGGGGGCGCGTCACACAGGGAGCGGGGGGGCCGGGCCCCGGGCGGGGGGAGAGGAGGGACCCACCTTGTTGATCTCCCGGTGCCGTTCCTTGGTTACGATTTCCTCCAAGACCTCGCCGTCTCCCTTAATGAGCCTGGGGGAGAGGGGAGCAGGCTGAGCCTCTGATGCCGGAGCGACAACCACAGGCGCCCCAGCCCCCCCCCCGACAGGGACACGGAGGCCGGGTGGGCTCTGCCATCAGATCAGCAGCACTGGCTCTCCGACGACCCTGCAGCCGCTTGGGGAGTCCGTCCACAGGGACTCTCCCGTCCTGCAGCCACCACCCCGCCCCCTGCAGGCGCGGGCCAGGGGCCGGGCTCCACCGCCCTCTCCCCACCTGGTGCGGCCGGTCTCCGGGTCCACCACCTTGCGGATGACGCTCTGCCTCGCGTCCCACTCCTCCTTGGTCATGGGCTTCATGGCCTGGATGCGCGACTTCTGCTCATCCGTCAGGACTGGAGGGGGCGATGGCGGGGAGGTGGTGGTCGGACCGCGGGGAGGGGGCCCTCCTGGCCCCGCTCACCCCGCAGCCCCGTACCTGGGCCGTCCTCCTCCTCCCCGGTGGACCGGTGCCACTGGTCCAGCGAGGGGCCCGGCAGAGCCTCCGGCGGCTGCACCTCAGCCTTCTCCTTGTCTTTCTTCTTCAGCTTCTTCTTCCTTTTCTTCTTCTTCTTCTTCCTCCTCTTCTTGTCCTTGTGCTTCCCCCGCTTCTTCCGGCCATGGCTGGAGGAGGAGGAGGAGGAGGAGGACGAAGAGGAGGAAGAGGAGCTGGGAGAACTGGAAGAGGAGGAGGAGGAGGAGCTGGAACGTGGTCTTCTCCGAGCCTGATGTTTGCTTCTCTCTGTGATGCAGGGAGAAGGTGAGGCAGGGAGGTGAGGCTGGAAGGCCTGGAGGGGAGTAAACTGCCCCCTTGCTCTGGATGGAAGAGTGAGACCTCCTGCAGGGATCAGCACTATCCCCAGAGGCACTGCCCTGCCTGGCCAGGTGCAGGGCGCCCAAACCCCGGAGCTCAGGCCCCGCTGCACAGAAAGCAAGACTAAGCATTTGCACGAAGCAATGCATGCTCCATGGGCCGGCCCTGCCCCTGGACCCGGAGTGTCTTTCCATCCGGACGTGCACGCTGTGCTCCGCACCCCTCCGACCACCGCCCCCCGCGATTTCCCTGCAGCCGCCCCGGGGAAGCCCGCCCAGCTGGCCTTTCCGCTGCCCGCGGCCTCACCCTCCGCCCCCGAGGAGGTGGTGCTGGCCTTGCGGTCCTGGGACCTAGAAGCCGAACAGCTGCCCCGGGCGTCCTTGCTGCTCTTCCTCCTCTTTTCCGACCCTCGCCCCCGCGAGCGGCTGCGACTCCTCGAGCGCTTGCGGGAGCCGCCGGGAGCCATGGCGCCGCGCTCTGCAGACGGAGAGACGCGGGCGATCGGAGGCTCTCAGCCCGCAGACCGGGCGCCCAGGTCCTCAGGGCCCGTCCCCCATCCCCCCCGGGGCAGGGATGTGAGCCACCCCGCAGCCACCTCACGCACGATCCTCAACCACGCACTACCCGCCGGGGACGCCGGGCCCACCGCCGCGGCCCCTTTAAGGGCCCGCCCCTCCCCGCCGCCGGGAGGCTCCGCGCCTGCGCAGGCGGCTCCGGCGTCCCTGGGAACGGCCGCGACCCTCACCCGCCAGGTGCGTTCTGAATCCCTCTCCACGCGCGCCCACCCGCACCCTCGCGCCCTCCGCCTCAAGGAAGGTCCCCGGGGTGGCCCGTTCCCTCCTCAACTGACCACCGGGGCCGGTCCCCGCGCCACGCCCTCGCGTGAGGAAGCGGTGGCGGGGAGGGGACTTCCGGCCGGGCCGGTGCTCTGAGAGGCCGTCCGGCTGCGAAGCGGGGCTGTGCCGCCTTTAGTTCCGTCTCCGGGGCGACTCAGGAACCGGGAGTCTGGCGCGCCCATCTGGGTTTCAGAGGCGAGCCGAGAGATTCCACCTCCAGGCCGGTGCGAGGCCGTGCCTGCTCCCGCAGCTCCCAGCCGGGAGGCGTGCTCCGCAGCTGGGCGCCACTCCTCGAGCCCGCAGGCCCTTTGCTGCAGTTGTGCCCTCTTCCAAGATTGCCCTTCCAGGGCTTCCGCAGCACCAGTCTCCCTGGGTCCCAGAGAAAGTTACTCACTCCGTCTCCCCCCCCCCTTGCACTCTCCCCACTCCCCCCTCCGCCCCCCGTCCAACCTGGGTTGTCTGCCCACCTGTCCACTCCATCAAGCCGTGAGTTCCAGGGCTGAGACGCCCTGGTCTTTACAACATCCCCATGTGGAGATGGTCAGCTCAAATGTCTATGAGGGGCCAGAGTGATCATGGCAGTGAATGAGGAAGGGGCCCTCTGAGGGGTGCCCCACAGACTCTGCTCCAGCTGATTTCTGCAGTGTGGGAATGGCGTCTGGTGTCTCCAGACCTTCCCACCTTCCCAGGGAAGCCAGAACCCCGGATTTCCGTATGGAAATGCCTGGTGTTCAGACGTGCTGCCCCGTGTGCCCAGCTGCACTCCTCCCCCAATTTGGGGGCTACCAAGTTGCAAACTCTTCAGTAATGACACCGGCAGACGCAGGGGGCTGTTATAAAGCACTTTATAAAGTTTATATATCATTTGACTCTCACAACAGCTCTAAGACATAGGTGCTTTCCAGGTGAGGAAACGGAGGCACAAAGAGGTCCAGGGTCTCACCCAGTCAGAGCTGGAAGTGGCAGAATCAGAATCTGAACTCAGAGGCCCTGCTTCTTAACCCCTCCACACCATCGTCACCAGCCACCCAAACCCCCTTTATGGACGGCACTCACCCCAGCTGTCCCGCCAGATGCTGGCAGCGACACCTGGGCGGTCCTCTGGGAGATCCCCTGGGCCACGGGGAGCCCTTGTGCGGGAGTCCTTACTCACACACATCCCCTCCCCACCCTCCGCCACGCCCTCTCCCAGCACGCCCTGCAGCCAGCCGCTGATGCTGAGGCCAACTGGTGGGTCCGTGCTCCGGGCGCTCCCGGGGATTGGCCACGTGCACCTGCCCCTCGGCCCGGCTCCTCCCTGCCTTTCCTGCTTCCTGGCCTCCCTCCTCCGTCGACGAGCAGGAACCCCCACCTCAGGTTCTGCTTCTAACAGACCTGGCCCAGCAGCCCGTCTGCAGAAAGAATGACCCGGAGCCTGCGTGTCCTTTTGAACCAAGACGTGCCGAGGGCTGCAGGGCCTTTATTCCGCCCTGCCCACGCCACGCCCGGGGGCAGAGCCTCTGCCGTCCGGCCGCCCGCACGGGTCCCGCCCGCCGGCTCAGGTCATCGCGCACACGTCCACGGCGGGGGGCTGCTCGCGGGTGAAGCCGTCGCCGAAGCCCTCGGCGTCCACCAGGTCGGGCTTGCGGCAGCACATGGGGCAGAGGCGGTTGCGCACGGCCGAGGCCCGGAGCCACACGATGAGGTTCCACCGCTCGCCGGCGCCCAGGGGCCGGGCCCCGTGCAGCTGGCCGCCCCGGTGCAGCACGCCCTGGCCCACCACGTGCTCCACCTCCAGGGGCGAGGCCAGGGCCGAAGGCGCCTGCGGACAGCGGGGGTCAGGCCTGGGCACCCCCGGCCCTGCCCCGGGGCTCACACACACGCGCGCACACACACTCACTCACTCACCTGGAAGAGGTCCCCGAAGTACAGGGCGCCCCCGCTGAAAGCCTTGCCCAGGGACACGTTGATGGTCAGCTCGGCGTTGTCGTAGTGGCAGCCCAGCTCCCGGTCCTGGCCGGGGGCGTACTTGACCACGAAGGCCCGGTGGCTGTCGAGCCAGCCTCCGCCGCAGTCCGGGTACAGGAGGGCCATCAGCGGCCGCAGGAGGCGCTCCCGCAGCGGCGTCACCAGCGGCTCATCCAGGCCCAGCTCGTGGAGCAGCACCTGGGAGGAGGTGCCAGTGAGGCCCTGACCTGGGGAAGAAAGTACAGGGCCCCCTGGCCTGGGGCTGCTGCTGGGTTTGGCCAGCGGGAGAGCCCAGCAGGAGGTGAGGCAGGAAGAGGGCAGGAGGGCATTGGGGAGCGGGGCTGTGTGCTCCTGCTGGTTGCCTGGCAGCCCCTCCCACAGCTCCAGGTCCCGGCAGCGTAGAAACCTCACCTGGCCCACTCCTTCAGGTCCAGAGACAGAAATGCCCCCCCCCCCCCCCCATTGCTGGCCCTGCCGGGGTCCTTCACCTCCTCTGCCGACCCTTTACCCCAGCCCCACCCCACGGTGTCCCTTGTTTAACTCCATAATCCTGCCCTTTTTCTTTACAGACAGAGAGACCGAGGCATGGAGAGGCTGCACAGCTGCCCCACAGCCCTGCAGGTCAGTCAGTCCCCCCAGGCCCCGGTGTCCCTGCCCCTCTGCCCGCCAGCAGAGCCGCACCCACCCCGTAGTTGTTCATGGTGTTGGGTCTGCCCTTGGGCATGTCCGACCGCTCAAAGTGCTCCAGCTCCTCCAGCAGCGCCTGGCAGAACGGCGCGGTGAACACCGGCAGCCGGTAGATCCGCTTCTCCTCTGCGGTGGGGGTGGGGTGGGGGGGACAGCCGGTTGGCCGGGGAGGGGGGGGTGAGCTTATGGATGCGTCTCAGTCCCCCCCGAGCTGTGTGAGCCTGGGCATGCCTTTTCACTTCCCCCGTCTCCATTTCCTCATCTGTATAATGGGGATAGCTTGGGAACTCTATACCCCTCTCGGGGCTATGATGAGGATTAAGTGCTGTATGGTATCAGCTCGGGGGTGGGGGTGGGGGTCTATTCTCCAACTCACTTCCTCCCCCACACATCCCTGGAGCCTCTCATCCTGCTCCCAAGGGTGCCCACAGTCTAGCCTTCAGACTCAGATGTGAGTTCCCATGAGGCCCTGAGATGGGGGGGGGGGGTATTACCCCGAGGACACCCAGCAGGCCAGCCTCAGGGCTGCGCCAGGATACAGAGCCTGCTCAGGCTCTCTCTGCACCCCTCGCCCCAGGGAACCACCCGAGTCTGCACCCCAATTCAGAGGTTTCTTGGAGTTCCCGTTCCGCACAGGGAAGGCTGAGAGGGCCCCGGTGGGGAAGAGGCCCAGCTCAGAATGGAAACCGGCGCATTCTCAGCAGACACGCACATTCTGGCCAACTCAGGAGCAGCCCCAGCCCCACCCCAACAGCCTCCTTATGATTCCAGCTGCTGTGGAGTGGATGGTAATGAGTGCCCTCCCAGCCCGGAGGGGGAGTTTCATTCTACCCTGTGCCCCACCGGGATGCAGGTGCCCAGAGGGGAGTGGCTTTTACCTCTGCCACCCCACCGCATCCCCCAGGCCCAGAATTCGGTACACATACCATTCGGTACACATGCTCAAGCCTCTAAGTGCATTCATCACCTCTCACCTGATCGTCACGGCACCTTTCGAGATGGGTGGTATTATCGTCCCCATTTCACAAATGAGGAAACCAAGGCAGACAGATTAAGGAACGTGCAAGGCCCTCTGGCCTGGGGCTGCTGCTGGGTTTGGCCAGTGGGAGAGCCCAGCAGGAGGTGAGGCAGGAGAGGGCAGGAGGGCCTTGGGGAGCGGGGCTGTGTGCTCCTGCTGGTTGTCTGGCAGCCCCTCCCACAGCTCCAGGTCCTGGCAGCTTCAGAAACCTCACCTGGCCCACTCCTTCAGGTCCAGAGACAGAAACACACACACACACACACACACACACACACACCCCGCATTGCTGGCCCTGCCGGGGTCCTTCACCTCCTCTGCCGATCCTTTACCCCAGCCCACCCGGCACTGTCTCAACTGTCCCTTCTGTAAGCTCCCAGCCACCCCGCTGGCTCATGCCTGATAAGACCCTGAGCAGCCGTGTCTCCTGGGTGAGTGCGGGGGTGAATCTAGACGCCCTGCTCCTGTGCCTTCCAGGCCCTGCTGGTTTGGCTTTTGGAGGCGCGCATACTGCAGAGAGGGGACCCCAGTCTTCCACCCCCAAGTCCTGCCAGGTCATGGGGCCAAGACCTCACCCGACACTGTCTCCAGCCGCTGGAGGAGGCCCTTGAGGTCTGCACCTGGCGACGCGCTGTACTCAGCTGCGGCCAGAAACTCGGGGGCCAGAGCCGCATCCTGGGGGAGCACACACCGCTGTGGGGCAGGCAGCCGGCCCAGACCGGAGGCCTCCTCCTCCCAGTCCCCTGCCCCGGCTGGGTACCTGCAGGGGGTTGTAGATTTCAGGCCGTGCCGGGCGGTAGGAGCTGGCGATGAGGGCTTTCCTGGCAGCCGACTCCTGCCCCAGGCGCTTCCGCCGCTCCACCTCCTGCTCCAGCTGGGGTGGCACAGAGCCTGGTTACCAGGACAGGGCCTCTCTCATCCCCTCGAGGCCATTGTACAGATGAGGAAACTGAGGCTCAGGAAGGCCAGAGCGGGGGCCCAGGCCGGGAGACACGTCTTCCTACGCTCCAGACTCTGACAGGGTTGATTGCAGGTGCCACACTGTTAGCTGAAGGGGACTCCTTCCAGAAGGGGGCCCAGCCCACTCTGGGCTAGGACAGCCCTAAGACGCCCCTCAGCCAGCTGGGGCCACGCAGGGAGGGGAGCAAAGTCCCAGCAGAGGCTGCAGAGGGCTCTCCCCGGAAGCTTCCCACCATTACCCCCGGGTGAGGGAGGGGGGCGAGATGCGAAGCAGCCCTGGTGGCAGGGGAAGCAGGGTCGGAGAAGGAACAGCAAGGAGCACCCCAGGTGCTGTGAAACCCTGAGCAAGTGACTCCCCTTGTTGAGCCCAATTTTTTCATCTCAAAAGGGCATGAAGTAAGACAACTTGGCAGCCCTCCTTCTTTCTCTTTTCCTGGTGCCAGGCCCCAGCTGCTGCAATGAGTGGGCACAGGAAGGGGGAAAGGAGGCGAAGGAGCCCTTCAGAGATCTGGGACTGGCAGGCCTGAGGCTGGGACACAAATCTAAACCGGAAGGTCTGGGCCGGGTGTGCAGGGGCGCTGGAGGGTGGCGGGTGTTACCTCTTCTAACAGCTGCTGGAAGTCCTTGGGGGTGACACAGCCTCGGCTGCGCAGGATCTAGGAGCAAAGAGGTCAATGGACACGACTACGTGACCCTGGGCAAGTCACTTAACATCTCTTGAGTCTCAGTTTCCCCTCCTCACATGGAGAGGAGAGCCCGGACCTCACAGGACCGTGGTGAGGATGAAGGACGCGGTAAGCGCCAAGTCCAGAGCGGGGCTCTTAGCTGCTCTCACAAGACCGACAAACCCCCCTGAGCCAGGCCCTGCCCTAAGCACAGATATGTCAGCTCATCCATACGACAGCCTCACCAGGGAGCTACGCTTGTCCCCAGGGAAGGGGAGGAAACTGGGGCACCGCGAGGCTGAGCCACTGTGGCGGTCAGATCTGAGCACGCGGGCAGAGCCAGCGACCCCGGGCACCAAGGTCCCTCCTCCGCCAGCCCTCCCGCGCATTCCTCCGCGGAGCCGACGGAGGCCACCCACTCACGGGGCCGTAGTCCGCGCGCAGCTGCTCCTCGCCCCGGAAACGCACGTGCAGCCCGTAGCGCGCCACGTACAGGTTCTCGGAGCAGAAGCAGGCGCAGCGGCAGAAGCGCTGCGGGACGCCCGCCGTCGCCATGGTGAACTGGCGCGCGCGCAGGCGCGGCCCCGGCGGATTCCGTAGGAGCACTTCCGGGTACGCCCACTTCCGGCAGCCAAGGAACCGGTCTAAATTCCCAAGCGCAGCGAGGGACGAAGACTCCCCGAAAACGGTCTGCGGTTTAGAAAGATGTTCTCGGCCTCCTCCCCGCCCAAGACCTTTGGCCACCTCCCTTGCCTGCTCGGAGCTTTTGAAGAACCAGTCAACTCCACGGGGACAGTGAAAGGCGCCCTGAGTTTCAACCGCGTCTCCTCCCAATGCTATGAACCATCTGTGCGTCTGAGCTTGGGTTTAGCATTTTTTCCCCCTCCCGGATCCCTGTCCCCGCCCTCGCCTTGCCCCCGCTTTCTCCTAGGATTCACCGCTGCTTGCCACAGTGTCTCCACTAAAACGTTCCGTCCCGCGTGACTTCCGGTGGCGCTCCCGTTGCAGTCAGGTGTGGGGCGGGGGAACGGGGCGTGGTCTGTCCGCGGCCACGCCCCGCACAAACCGGCTCCAGTTCTGCGCAGCCGCAGTGCGAGATGAATGCTAATGCTCTTAGCGTGTAACCCAACCTGAGGGACATCCAACGCCACACATACCGGGACCCCGTCATGGTACTCCGTGCACCCCCCCAGGCCCAGGTCTGCAGAACTGGATGAAGTAGCTTGGATTGGATAGCAAACCTATTACCGAGATGGGAGAACTAAGGCGTGGGGCAGGGGAGGCAATCCCTTCCCCTGGAATTGGTCCCTGACCCCCGCCCTAGAGTTTCCTCCATGACAGCGTTGTGCGGGGAATGGGGTTGGGGAGGAAGACTCGGGCTTCAGGACTTCCGCCCAGACCCCAGATAAATGGGTGACTATAAGTGACAGCGCCTGTTGTCCCAGCTTCCTTTCTGCTGGACTTCTGGATCTCTCACCCGCCTTGCATCCCTGCAGCAAACCCTTGAGCTGTATTATATACTGTTACATCTTCCTGTTACACAGATGGGGAAATTGAGGCTCCGAGGTGCAGTGACCGGCCCTAGGTCACTCACCAGTAAGGTCTGCTCTCTGACTTCCCTGTTCACCGAGACAGGGGTTCAGTGGTGAGGGTGAGATGAGGAGGGAATTTACATGTGTGTGAGCCACCGTGAACACATGCACTCCAGCACATACGTCCATGCTAACACATTTACACGCAACCACACATGCCATCAACACACTCACCCCCACGTGAACACATTCCACACTGGTGCACACTTCTCACACACCTAATCACCCACATTCACCTTCTCTCGCTCACCCAGGCAGCACAGCCCGGTTCCTTTCTTCTCTCTGGGTACTTAAGCTCTAAGACCCAACCATTGCTCTTAGAAGCCCCAGGGCCCCCCAAAAAAATAAAATAAAAAAAAGAAGCCCCAGGGCCCAAAAGGGACCTTCACATTCCTCTATCTCCCCCACCCCCACCCCCCTCCGCTACCGCAGCCTCCATCAGCACCTTTGGGGATCCAAGGCTCCAGCCCCAGTGTCCCCGCCTTTCCCCAGTACCTCCGGGGACCAGGAGAGGGCGCCTGCTCTCTGGGCAAAGCCTGTACCAACAGCCTGAGTGGTTTTCACAGTGATTAGGCGGGGGCTTACAGACCTTCCTGAGTGTGTATGTCTGAGTGTGTGAGTGTGAGCTGTGCACGTGGAAGTGTGTTTTGAGTGACAGACAAGGTCCTTGCCCTTCTGAAGGTCTCAGTCCAGTGAGGGGAGACGGGCAAGCGAGGAAGCAATCACATGATCAGGTTAGTCTCACTTGGTGGCGAGTGCCAGGACGCCCAGGGCCTGAGGTGGCCTCTTTGGACAGGTGGCCAGCAAGGCCCTCGCAGGAGTGCCACTTCAGCAGAGCCCTGACTGCGGCAGCAGGACCCAGCAGGAAAGGGTCGTAGGCAGGGGAACAGGGTGCAGGTCGCTTAACGTCCGCTGTGGGCTGAACTCGAGCAGCAAGGATCACGGGAGGGCAAGCCGGAGGCCATGGGACCACGTGCTATTGGGGCCGAATCACTGGGCCCAGGAGGCCACGGTTAGCATTTTGGATTTGACCCTCCCTGCAAAGGGGAAGCTGTTTAATCCTCACAGCAACCCCTGTGGGGCAGGAACTGTCCTCACTTTACCCATGTGGACGAGGAGGCTCAGAGAGGCCCAGTGACCCACCCAGAGTCACACAGCTCGTAAGTGGTACAGGCCGGAAGGGAACTCCAATCTGACTGCGCTGTTGGTTGTTTATGAAGGTCTGCCTTGGCGCCCCTCCCCCCTCGGGCATAAAATCAAGGTCCTTGGGCCACGGGGACCTGAGTTCCAGCCCAAGCCGTCTGAAGCCACCATCTTCCTTCAGGAGGATGGCCGCCGGGCCCAGCTTCCTTTTCAAGGACCCGGCCTCCCGGCCTCCCGGCCCAGAGCTGTGTGGCCTGAGAAGGTGTTTAGAGTTTCACAGGCATCTTGATTGCCCAGCGATAGTGAAGGGCCCTCCTCGCCAGCAAAGGATCTGTTTCCTCAGCTCGGTGTTCAGCAGCACCCCCCCGCCTCGGCCTTCTCCCCAGCAGGCCCCCCTCCCCGCCCCCCCCCTCTGGCAGGCCAGCTCCCCAGCCTCCACCGCGCTGGCCTGGAGCTGGCCTGCCACGAGCAGCTCCCCGGCCTGGTCAGGTTTCTCCCTCTCGCAGCAGTTTGCAAGCTGAGCCTGCTCTGCCTGTCAGCGCAGACTGGCCCTCTTCAGGGCCAGTGTCCCAGCCCCCAGCCCGCCCCAGCCTGGGCTCAGTCTCCAAAGAGAACCGCAGCGAGAAGACTGTAGCAGTAAGCACCAAATCAGGGTGACTCCCAGCCAGCAAGGATGCGTTTTATTGACGGCAGCAGGTGTCTCCACTCCCTCCATTTCACAGATGAGGAGACTGAGGCTCGGGGAAGTGCAGGGGCCTGTCCAGGGCCATAAACCCAGCGCGCATCAGAACACCCATCCCGTGTGGTTCCAGCACGGCATGGGTGGTGTGTGTGCGCACGTATACATGTGTGTATGCATACCCATAGGTTGTGTGTATGTGTGTACATGTAATACATGCTTTTGAATTAACATGGAGTACCCACACAACAAAGGTACAAATCATAAGGGTACAGTTTGGTGAATTTTCCCAAACTAGACACCCATGTAACTGGCACCCACATCCCAAACAGAACATTGTAGCTTCACAGAAAGCCCCTTCCGTGTCCCCTCATCTTACTACCCAGCTCCCAAGGGTCTCAAGAGCAAATACCTATTCTTGAATTTGCGACAAAGAAAACCACATAGGAGTAGTTTTTGTATACTGCTTCTTCCACTCAGCATTATGCTCTTGAGCTTCTTCTGTGGGGTGGGTAGCAGCAGTCCATCTTTTTCCTGGTTCCATGGGGGTGAGCATTCTTCCATTCACTGAGCCGTTCTAGAGCTTATGGCATTTGCATTGTTTCCAGTTTAGAAACATTCTTTTTTTTTTTTTTTTTTTTTGCAGTAAAATAGACATGATGAAAATTTATCATTTTAACCATTTTTACTAGACTTTTTTTTTTTAAGAGCAGTTTTAGGTTCACAGCAAAATTGAACAGAAAGAGATTTCCCATGTACTCTCTGCTTCTTCCCCCACCACACGCACACACATGCAGAGTCTCCCCCACTACCAACACCCTGAACCAGAGTGGATACTGGTCACAGTGAAATCCCATTGACACATCCAAAGTCCATGGTATACATTAATGTTCCCTCTTGGGGTTTTATAGAATCTGGTTTGTGGCCCTGTATAATGACGTGTGGCCACCATTGCAGTCCTAAACAATAAATTTAATTTTAAAAATTCCTCTGTGCTCTGTCTATTCACTGCTCCCTCCTCCTAACCCCTCATAAGTCTGACCTTTTTTTTTTTTACTGTCTCCACAGTTTGTAGCCTTTTCAGGCTGGCTTTTTTCACTGGGGAAATAAGCATTCGAGGTTCATTCATGTATTTTCGTGGCTTGACAGATTTCTTTTTAGCGGCGAATAACATTCCATTGTCTGGATGGAACCCAGTTTGTTCACCTGCTTTGTTCACCATTTGTTGAAAAAAATTACCTTTGCTCCATTGTATTGCCTCTGGTTCTCTGTCAAAGATCAGTTGACTGTTTTTATGTGGGTCTATTTCTGGGCTCTCAGTTCTGTCCCATTGATCTGTCTATTTTTTGCTCAAGACCACATTGCGTTCACTTCTGCAGCTTTGCAGTAAGTCTTGACGTCGGGGAGCGTCAGTCCCCTGGCTTTGTTTTTCTCCTTCAATGTCGCGTTGGCTGTTTTCACACAGCAAGAACGACAGAGCCTAGATCTGAACCCAGATCTGAGTCACTCTGACTTTTAGGTATTTAACCCAAAATAAGGTCTCAGGTGCCATCATATACTTGCTTTTGTTTTTGCACAAACAGTAACATACTTCAACTTGTATTCTGTCCTTTTAAAAATAATTTTTGAACTGAAACCGGTTTGGCTTAGTGGATAGTGTTGGTCTGCGGAGTGAAGGGTCCCGGGTTCGATACCTTGGTTGCGGGCACATCCCCAGTAGGGGTGTGCAAGAAGCAGCTGATCAATGATTCTCTCTCATCAATGTTTCTGACTCTCTATCCCTCTCTCTTCCTCTCTTTGGAAAATCAATAAAGTATATTTAAAAATATATATATTTTGAGAGAGAAAGGGAGGGAGGAAGGGAGAGAGAGAGAGAGAGAGAGAGAGAGAGAGAGAGAGCGCACATTGATTTCTTGTTCCATGTATCCATTCATTGGTTGATTCTTTTTTTTTTTTTAATCAATCTTTATTGTTCATATTATTACAAAGGTTCCTCATTTCTTCCCCCCTCCACCAGGTTCCCACCCCACCCTCCGCCCCCTCCCCATCCCCCATTGTCCTCATCCATAGGTGCACAGTTTATGTTCAGTCTCTTCCTCCCTCCCTTTCCCCGATAGTAAATCCCTTTTCAGATAGTAAATCAGTTACTTAGCATTTTCTCGTATCAATAATACCTCCACATGCCCAATGATACACTTCACACAAAAGACATTTCCAAATAGGTCAAACAGCCTCATCCAGGCCCCACCCAAGGCACTCACAGATCAACACCCCAGCACTATACTAACTCAACACATCCAGATCTAAGCCTTCATCACTTGATTCAGCAGACCCTCAAGTTCCCGCAAAAGTTTCCAGCCATGTCTGAGAGGCAGCCGTTGGGCAGGGGCAGGCGAGGAGCAAGCTGTTCCGGGCCTGGCTTCTCCGGGCCTGGCCTCTGTTGCTCTGGTTCGTTCCACAACCAGCTGCTCCGGGTCTGGTCACTGCTGCTCCTGACCTAGTTGCTCTGGACTTGGCAGCTGCTGCTCCGGGCCTGGCCGCTCCCAGCCTGGCAGATGCTGCTCCGGGCCTGGCCGAACCAGACCCTGCTGCTCCGGGCCATTGGTTGATTCTTGTATGTACCCTGACTAAGAATCGAACCTGCAACCTTGGTGTGTCAGTTGGTGACCCTCTAGCCAACTGAGCTACCCAGCCTGGGCTCTGTCCCCGGCTTTGACTCCGTACATTTAGGTCATTCCGTACCTTTGTGTAACCATGTGTAGGTAGGTTCCTAGATTGTCTCCGCTGCTGTGCGGTATCCCGATGAGCGATGCTGTGTAATTATCCGGCCAGTCCCCTGTGGTCGGGGAGGATATTTAGGTTACTTCCAGACTTTGCTACTCCAGCAACTGTCCACAAGCCAGTATCTTTGCTCCCCTCTACAAGTCTGTCTATAGAAGAAATTCCTACTGGGTTAAGAAAAAAAAAAAAAAAGTGCGTTTTAAATTCTGAACTTCTCCACATTCCCCTTGAAAGAGGCTCTCCCATGTGACTAGCAGAGGCTGTTTTATTTTTTAAATATATATATTTTTTTATTGATTTCAGAGAGGAAGGGAGAGTGAGATAGAAACATCAATAATCCTTGACCCCCTGGGCCCCAGGTCCATGCTCAACCACTGAGCCAGCTAGCCCGGCTGCTGGGGGCTGTTTTAAGTCAGAGGGCACTTGCCCAGCCAGGATGGCTCAGGGGTTGAATGTCGACCTGTGAACTGGGAGGTCACAGTTTGATTCCCGGTCAGGGCACATAACCCAGGTTGCGGGCTCGATTCCAGTGCGGGGCGTACAGGAGGCAACTGATCAATGATTCTCTCTCATCACTGATGTTTCTACCTCTCCCCCCCTCTCCCTTCCTCTCTGAGATCAATAAAAAATATATTTAAGCCGAAACCGGTTTGGCTCAGTGGTAGAGCATCAGTCTGCGGACTGCAAGGTCCCAGGTTCAATTCCGGTCAAGGACATGTACATTGGTTGCGGGCACATCCCTGGTAGGGGGTGTGCAAGAGGCAGCTGGTTGATGTATCTCTCTCATCGATGTTTCTAGCTCTCTATCCCTCTCCCTTCCTCTCTGTGAGAAATCAATAAAATATATTTAAATATATATATATATTTATTTAAGAAATACAACTAAATAAATCAGAGGGCGTTTTACTGGCTGAAGGAGGAGGGCTGTGGAGGTACCGTGCCCCGCTGCTGCCCCTCTGGGCCTTGGCCTGCTCTCCCTGGCTTTTGGTTCAGGCGCAGGGATCCCTCTGTTCCTCAGTGGCCAGTGGCCAGGCAGAGCCTTTCAGCTGCGCCTGGGACGGCTTCCTCCAGACCCTTTCGGCTCCCCCCTTCTCACCTCTCACCCTTCCCGGCCACATAGCCCATGCTGCACCCCGTTTTACTTCCTTTAAATAAAGTATCCGAAATCACCCTGTGTGTTTATTTGATTTCCTGTCTCCCCACTTCCCAAAGGAGGGGGAATGGGGGAGGTCGTCTCTTTTCCACACTCCGCTGGACTCCAAGCACCCAGCACCCAGCACCCAGCACTCAGTCCATTAGTGCTGCCTCCCCTCTCCCAGTCCCCTGCTACTCTGCCCTATTTTTATTTCCTTTTTAATTTTTTTAAAAATATATTTTATTGATTTTTGTACAGAGAGGAAGGGAGAGAGATAGAGAGTTAGAAACATCGATGAGAGAGAGTCATCGATCAGCTGCCTCTTGCACACCCCCTACTGGGGATATGCCCGCAACCAAGGTACATGCCCTTGACCGGATTCGAACCTGGGACCTTTCAGTCCCCAAGCCGACGCTCTATCCATTGAGCTAAACCGGTTTAGGCTCCTTTTTAATTTTTAAAAATATATTTTTATTTATTTCAGAGAGGATGAAATGATGAGGGTCAATGATGAAATATTGTAGAATCAGTGACCAGCTGCCTCCTGCACGCCCCACACACTGGGGCTTGAGCCCACAGCCCTCCGCATGCGCCCTGATTGGGACCCTAACCGAGACCCCCTGGTTCATAGATCGAGGCTCAACCACTGAGCCACGCAGGCCGGGTTCTGCCCTATTTTTCTCCATAAAGTGTATTCCCTCCCAGCACATAGAATTGGCTCCTTCATTATACGGATCGCCGGAGTCCCGCCCTAGAATGTCCAGTTCGGAGGCCCTTTCCCTGCGTGGAGAAGGGCCTGGCTGTGCGGAGGGGCGGGGCCTGTGGCAGGTGGGCGGGCGGCCAGCTGTGGCCCCGCCCCCTCCAGAGGCCCCGCCTCCTGGAGGCCCCGCCCCACCTGTCAGCCGGCCCGGCCCGCCCCGCCCCGCTGGGCTCCGACCTTGCCGCCGCGCAGCCCGGCGGGCGGAGGCGGAGGCGGAGGAGCGGAGCTCGCTGGTGGAGCCGGCGCTGCCGGGGCCGGTCTCCCATGAGCGGCGCGGAGGCGCCCCACGATCCGAGCCCCTGCGCCCCCTCCTCACGGCTCACCTGGTGCCGGTTCAGGTAACGGGTGAGGGCGCGGCGCCGGGACCCCCGGCCTGGGTCCCCTCCAGGCCAAGGTACCAAGCGGGGCGCAGGCTGGGGGCGTCCGGGTCCCCCTTCCCCCGGGTGGAGTAGGCATCCTCCGGAGGGTCTCCCCGGCCGCCGCCCCGGTGCCCCGGCCGCTGGTCCGAGCCCCCCAGCCCGCAGCATCCTCTCCGCGCCCACCCGCAGGGTGAATGTTGCATTTTTTTAACCCCTCAGGCGCCACCAGCTCTTGGGAAATGGTGGGAACGCCTTTGGGAAGGATCCTGGGGTGTCTGTCCTCGCCCCAGGATGGGGCTGACTTGTCTTCTGAGGGCTCCCTGCCCCCCGCAGCGGGGCCTGCCCACACATCCTAAGCGCCAGGGGGTTCTCCTGAGTCTGCCCACCTTAGCCAGCCCCTTCCCTCAGTCTCCCCAGAGGGCCGTGGCCTCATGCACTCACCCTGGCCGTTAGGCCTGTAGGTTCCCGGTCCCCCGCCCCCTTATTCCTGGGGCTCTGTTAGAACTGGGTGCCCCGTCCCACTCCCAATCTTCATCCAGACAGCTTTAAGCTTGTCTGACAGGATTCCCTGCCCTCTGCCCACGGCCCCACCCCCTGGAGATAGGCTGGCGTCCATGCCCCTCGTCAGGAGGGACCAAAGCCAAGTGGCAAGAGGACGGTCGTAGGAGGGCCACGCCGGCTCCCGTTTGCCTCGCCAGAGCCGCGAGAGCGTGGGAGGCGGGGGCTCAGCGGCACTGGGAGCCGGGATGCAACCAGCATGGTGGACCCAGCTCCGTCCGTCCATCCATCCGTCCTGGCCGTGCGGCCGGAGACCCCCACGGTGACACCTGGGTCCCCTGAGCACCAACAGCCTTCCCGGCCCTGGGTGATGCCTGGCCGCGAGGGGGAGATGATCACCGGGTGAGGGACGGAGCTGGCCTTGGGCCACCAGGCCCTTTGGGGTCCTGTTCTTTTGGTCCCTGGGCGAGCCCCTCCCCCGCCCGCAGAGCCGGGAGTGGTGAGTTTCAGTCCTGCTCGGCCTGCTCTCCGCCTGTCACTTACCTTCCCCGCCTGTGCCCGTCTGTAAAATGGGGATGATAGTGAGGACTGCCGGCCAGCCTGCCCGCCCGCCTTAGGGTGGTGGTGAGGATTAAGGGAGATGCAAGGCATTCAGCATCACCCCCTAACGGGCAGCTGTTGTGAGTGTAATCATTATTATTATTATTATTAATTATCTCCCGGCTGGCTGTTCCAGGCTTTCCTTTTGCGCTGTGCTGATAGCTGGAGGCTCCCCGACCTCCATGTCTTCCTCTGGATAAAAGCCTTTGGGACCCCGTGGGAGAGGGTCCCTGGCTCTTCCAGTATTTGGGGTCAAGGCCAGTTGCCCCCCGTCGTCCTAGGCCAGGCCAGGCCCAGGGCAGTGTCTGTTCTGGCCTCTGGCCACTGCCTGGTGCTTGTCCCTCGGGCCACCCACACACACGATTTGCCCTCCAGCCTCCCCTGGCCGAGTCCCCCGGCTCAGGCAGGAGGAGAAGGGACATGCCTCCGGGCGGTCCTCATCCTCCCCTCCTCACCATCACGGTCGTGGTCATGGTCACGGTCACGGTCACGGCTCGTGGTCTGGTCCCCTCCCCCGTGCCGCTCAGTCACTCCTGTCCCCACTGAGGGCTGTAACCCGACCCCAGCTGGACGCGGCCCCATCTGAGCCGGACGAGGAAGACCGGGCACCTGGGACCCGGGGACCCTGGTGCTGTCACTGCTCTGCCGCCCGCGGGCTGGGTGACCCCAGACACGCCTCGCTGCCTCCCTGTATGGAGCTGTTTCTCCCTCCGTCAAACACATCCCGATAGTGCGTGATGCTGGGATGCAAATTTTTATTTGTGTCGGCGTAATCAACCGGGCCTCCCCAGTGGCTGTCTGATGGGGCTGACATCACCCACAGCAGAGGTGCAGGAAGGAAGTTCCCCAGTGGCTGAGGGGGCAGGGAAGTGGGGGCAGGGAGAGCCAGCAAGCCCACGAGCTAGTCTCTGGCAGATCTCCTCTCGGCCCCACTTCTGAACCCCAGAATCTTTCTGGGGGCTGAGGGACTCCCTGTGCCCCCAGGAGGGGAGCAGCAGGAACGTGGCTGCAGGGCCCTGGCAGCCGGCAATGGCTTGGCCGGGAGGCCTGTCGCCGAGGCCGCTCCAGGCCAACGGCATCCTCCCTGGGCTCCGGCTCCCTCACCCACTCCAGGGCCTCTGCATTGCAGCAGGCAGGAGCTGAACGGGCAGCCCCGCCAGGGCTGGGGGCGGGGCACGGGCCCCCGCCCCCACCCCTTTGATCCCGCTCTGCCCTGGCTTCCGTGGGAGGGGCAGCTGCTGACAAGGCCGCCGCCTTCCCTGGGACAGACTGGAGTCTGCGGGTGTGCTGGTGGGCAGGCAGGGCCCAGGCTCGGGGAACCAGCACGCCCCTGGGTCCTCTCGGCACCCCAGGCCCCTCCCCTGTCCCTGGGAGAGGGCATTTGGAAGGGTTAGGACTTTGGGAATCGACAGCCTGGGTTCGTTCGCCTCCAGCTCTGCCGCTTCTTAGCTGTGCGACCTGAGACAGGTCCCTCACCCTCTCTGGTCTCAGTTTTCTGTAAAATGGGGACCATAGAACCCACCTCTTAGGATTCTCGTGAGCATCCGGGCGTGCACTTCACTCAGGACGGTGCCAGGCACACACCGACTTCCGTGAGTGCCATCGTCATTGCTGTCATTGCGGTCGTCATGCCTGTCACCAGCGCCTGCTGGTGGTGCCCCCTCGTGTGTGCTCCGTTCCTCAGAGGAGCGCTCCCTGCAAGCACTTGCTGCGTCGACGAGCGTTCTGGCTCAGCGGTGCAGGGCCCACGTTGGGAGCCAGAGAGTTTCTGGGTTCAAATCCCAGCTCTGCAGCTCCCCAGCCGTGGGACCTCTCTGGGCCTCAGTTTCCCCACCTGCTAATGGGAGTGATGTCAGCCCACGTCTCACAAAGTCGTTGGGAGGATTAAGTGCGGGCGGCACAGGGGCCAAGTCAGCTGCTGGGACCCTCACGCGCAGGCCCGGGTCCTGGCGTGGGCCTCTATCGGCAGAGCGATACGGGGCATATGCTTTGGCCTTTCGGTGCCTCGGTTTACCCACCTGTAAATGGGGATGTGGAAGCACCGGCCCGGTGTTTCTGTCACTCTGGCCACCCCTCCTATTGCCCCACGCCTCACCCCTTTCCTTATCCCGTTTGGCAGACGGGCTAATAAAAACCCCAAGAGACAGGGACAGACCCAGGTCAAGAGGCAGCATTCAGAGGCTCGCCCCAGCCCTGCCCCTCTCCCACACTCACGCCTCCAGGCCCTCATCCCGCAGGGTCTCTGCAGCTCCCGGGGCCTCCGGGTCTGAGTCCTCTGGGGCTCACTGTCAGGGCTGCTTTAGACAAAGCAGACAACAAGCTCCAGGGCTTGGGGCTCGGGCCCAAGATTCTGGAAACTTCCGGGCACATGTCAAAGGCCCTGGGTTGCTCCCGGGCCTACAGCCACCCCCTCTTTGTGTAAAAAGATACAAGTTTATTTGGGGAGGAGAGAAGGGAACAGACATTTATTAAGCACCCACTGTATACGCTGATAACAACCAGCCGCATTTCTTATTATATGTTCCAGGCACTGGGCCCAGATATTCATGCTACCGTCTTACGAATGAGGAAACAGGTTCAGAGAAATGAGCGGCAATGACAGTTGTAGTCAAACAGCAGCCATTCGCTGTACTCTTTGCTCATCTCAACTTCATCCGCCACGTCCTAGGCCCCTGGCCCCTCACCTCTCTGACCCCTGGGGCCTCCTCGCCTCCTCCCTTAGCGCATTCGCACAGTCCTGCCTCGGGCCTCCGACCCTGTGTGCTCCGCCCGCACACGGTGCTTCTCCCCAGAGAGCCACCTGGCGGACTCCCTCGCCTCTTTCAGTCTTGCTCAAGCATTACCCTCACAGCTCAGCCCTCCCTGGCACCCTGTACAAACTCACCCGCAGCCCCTCGGCCCTCCACCCCCTACCCCACTTCCTCCCCGCAGCCTAGCATACTAAGTCATCTGCTTCCGCTGTCTATTACCTGTTTCAAGCACGAATGTGTCATCTCTACAAGAGCAGGGGTCTTGGTCGTTTATTTATTTTAAATGTATACTTTATTGACTTTTTACAGAGAGGAAGGGAGAGGGATAGAGAGCCAGAAACACTGGTGAGAGAGAAACATCGACCAGCTGCCTCCTGCACGCCCTCTACTGAGGATGTGCCCGCAACTAAGGTCCATCCATGCCCTTGACCGGAATCGAACCTAGAACCCTTCAGTCCGCAGGACAACGCCCTATCCATTGAGCCAAACCGGTCAGGGCTGTTATTTTTGTTCACTGTGAAATCCCCAACACAGAGAACAGGGTCTGGCCCACAGGGGGGGTGGGGGTGGGGCCTCAGGAACCAGTCCTTGAACAAACGGCATCTTCCCAACACCCCTTCTCTTGTTGTTTTACAGACGAGGAAACTGAGGCTCAGAGGGGCTTTGTGACCCGCTCAAAGCCACACAGCCAGGAGGCAGCCCGCCAACTGGAACCCCTCGCCCTCCTGCCCCCACGGGGCCGGCCTTGCCCGCAGATGGCTCTGCTGCCGCCGTGAGCTAGAGCCCGCCCCCGCCCCCCGCCCCCCGCCCGCCCGCCGCCCGCCCGCCCGCCGCCCGCCCGCCCGCCGGCCGGCAGGATGCAGCTGTGGAAGGCGGTGGCGGCGACGCTGGCCTTCATGGCGGCGGACATCGGCGTGACCACGGCCATCTACGTCCTCAGCCGCCCGGACCGCGGCCTCCTGGAGGACGTGCGCCACTTCAACGTCTTCGACTCGGTGCTGGACCTGTGGGCGGCCTGCCTGTACCGCAGCTGCCTGCTGCTGGGCGCCGCGCTCGGCGTGGCCAAGAACAGCGCGCTGGGGCCGCGGCGGCTGCGGGCCTCCTGGGTGGCCATCGCCCTGGTGTGCCTCCTCGTGGGCATCTACGCCGTGGTGAAGCTGCTGCTCTTCTCCGAGGTGCGCAAGCCCGTGCGGGACCCCTGGTTCTGGGCCCTCTTCGCGTGGACCTACGTCTCGCTCGCCGCCTCCTTCCTGCTGTGGCAGCTGCTGGCCGCCGTGCGGCCGGGCGCCAAGGCCCTGGAGCCCGGGGCGGGCGCCGAGGCGGAGGCCGAGGACCAGCCGGCGGCCCCCGAGCAGGCGTCCGGGGCCACGCTGCAGAAGCTGCTGTCCTACACCAAGCCCGACCTGGCCTTCCTCGTGGCGGCCTCCTTCTTCCTCATCATCGCGGCTCTGGGTGAGTGAGCGCGCCCCCTCGGGCCGGCAGGCACCCAGGAAACCGGCTTTTTTTTTCTTTTTCTTTCATATATTTTATTGACTTTTTACAGAGAGGAAGAGAGAGGGATAGAGAGCCAGAAACATCGGTGAGAGAGAATCATGAATCAGCTGCCTCCTGCACGCCCCCCACTGGGGATGTGCCCACAACCAAGGTACATGCCCTTGACCGGAATCGAACCCGGGACCCTTCAGTCCGCAGGCCGACGCTCTAGCCACTGAGCCAAACCGGTTTCGGCTGGAAACCGGTTCTGTAGGGTGGTGACGCCTCCTCTGTCCTCGTGAATGTTAGCATTTACTTCCATAGTCCAAATATCACACTGACCTGGGAAGGTAAACACAGGTGTGTTTCATTCCTCATTCTGCCTCTGGCGGACCCTGGGCCCCAGAGCTAACTATAGGAAAGTTCCGGAATCTTCCAAGGGGGCAGGAAAAACTTGGGTTCATTTCCCATATCTGCTCCAGTGTTTCCTTGTGCAGCCACAGACAGACAGGAACACCAACCCGGCATTCGCTCCATCTCTCACAATGTTTTGTGTCCTGATTTTTAAAAATTTTTTTATTTTTATTGATTTTTTTTACAGAGAGGGATAGAGTTAGAAACATCGATGAGAGAGAATCATGGATCAGCTGCCTCCTGCACACCTCCCACCGGGGATGTGCCAGCAACCAAAGTACATGCCCTTGGCCGGAATCGAACCTGGGACCCTTTAGTCCGCAGGCCGACGCTCTATCCACTGAGCCAAACCGGCTTCGGCTGTCCTGCTTTTTTCACTCAACAATATATTCTGGAATTTTCCAATCACTGCCTCGTTCTTTGATTCGGCTGCATAAAAGTCCACTGTGTGGTTACACCATCGATTATTTAGTTCCGTCTCCTGAGGTTGGACTCTTGGGCGGTTTTGAGTCTTCTTCTCTTGCAATAAGTAACCCTGTTCATACACATTTCCTATAGCCGTAGGTATAAATAGGATAAATTCCTGGAAGTGGGAGCTCTGAGTCCCAGCATTTTTTCGTAATGAGGCAGAATAGAAGAGAGGCCATTTGAGGCTGTTGCCTGCGGTAAGATGAAGCATTGTTTCGTGGAACTTTTGTTTCAGGTATGTGTGCCCGTGTGGTAGAACATGTATTTGCTGCTGTCGGTCCAAACGGCTCGAAAGCCACCCTCCAGGAAGGCCTGGGTGCTAGCCCAGTGTTTTTAGTTTTTATTTACTGATGAGATAGATAGATAGATACATTGATTTCTTGTTCCATTTATTTATCATTCATTGGCTGATTCGTGTATGTGCCCTGTCCAGGGACTGAACCCACAACTGTGGTGGATTGGGCTGATGCTCTAACCCAGTGGTCGGCAAACTCATTAGTCAACAGAGCCAAATATAAGCAGTACAACGATTGAAATTTCTTTTGAGAGCCAAATTTTTTTTAAACTTAAACTTCTCCTAACGCCGCTTCTTCAAAATAGGCTCGCCCAGGCCGTGGTACTTTGTGGAAGAGCCACACTCAAGGGGCCAAAGAGCCACATGTGGCTCTCCAGCCGCAGTTTGCCGACCACGGCTCTAACCTACTGAGCTACCCAGTCCTGTTCCTTCCCTGGCTTTGTGATTGTGGGCACGTTATCCCACGTCAGAGCCCCCTCCTTCTTCTTGTGTGGAGCAGGCATTCTCAGTGTCCCTGTTGCTCCATGTTGTAAAGCTGGAATGAAAACAGGAAAAGGTCGGGTTCAAAGCCCAGAGTGGCATGGTACGCGCTCAGGAATGTTGGCTGTGACGAGTCGTAACATGCTTAGCTCACGGGGACACAGTCTGGGAGCGGCCACAAGCCAGACTGTTCCCAAAGAGGGCAGGCAGACCCCGGAGGTGGCACGGTCCTGCAGGCCCCTTCCTCTTGCTCTCCCCCCTCCATCCTCTCAGTCCCAGCCCCTTAACCGCTGTGTGATCTCAGGCAAGTCACTTCACCTCTCTGTCTCAGACTCGTCGTCTGTAAAAGGGGGTAACGGGGCCACCACCCTGGAGCTTGTGAGGGTCAGGGAGTGAACAGGTTAAGGCACCTCGGACAGCTCCTGACACAGAGAAAGCTCTCAGTAAACATTAGCACCTGTGAGTATTGGGACCTCCCCCCCCCCCTCTCTCTCTCTATCTATCTATCTATATATATATATATATATATATATAATTGATTTTTTACACAGAGGAAGGGAGAGGGATAGAAATCTAGAAACATCTATGAGAGAGAAACATCGACCAGCTGCCTCCTGCACACCCCCTACCGGGGATGTGCCTGCAAACCAATGCACATGCCCTTGACCAGAATCGAACCCGGGACCCTTGAGTCCTCAGGCCGACTCTCTATCCACTGAGCCAAACCAGCTAAGGCCAAATTGACATTCTTAAAGATGAGTTTCATGGCAACCCAACTACATACACTTGGACAGGTGACTTAGTCTCTCTGAGCCTTGGTTTCCTCATCTGTAAAATGGGAAGAAGAATAGCACAGCTGCAGGATTATTGGGAGGCGTTTGAGACTCGAAAGAGACGAGGGAGCAGACGTGTGGGGAGCAGCCTGTCCGAAGGCCCTGAGGTAGGGAGGCCCTGGCTGTTACAGGGACAGCCAGAGGCCGGCGTGGCTGGGGCAGGGAGCGAGGGGGCCGCGGAGGACGAAGCCAGGGCAGGCACAGGGGCCGGAGGGGCCTTTGACGGTTCTCCCGGATGCGATGGCAGCCGTCGGACCGCTTTGAGCTGAGGGACGACAAGGTTTTATTTCGGTTTCACCAGCTCCGGCTGTCCACCGGGCGGAGGGGCTGATGGAGCGAGGGCGGAGCGGGGAGGACCGGCAGCTGCTGCTGAGGGGCCCAGGCTCGGTCGGCAGCCTGGACAGGCGGGGCAGGAGGGGCAGCAGAAGTGGTCGGATTCTGGAAACCTTCTGAAGGCAGAGCCGGGGGTTTGCTGACTGGAGAGTTCTGCCCGTGTGGTTCTTGTGCAGATTGGACGAGGGAGTTTGCTCAGCACGGCGCCCGCACCCGGTACGGGCTCCGTACGGTCATCACTGGCACTCCCCGGTGCTGGCTGGGCCAGCTGCTGCTGGAGCTGGCGGATGCCGCTTCTCCCTGGTGGGTGAGCTGCGGCCGAACTCCACAGCCGCTGCTGGAGACTCCATGGCGACTGCCACCTGTGGTCCCGGTGCCACCACCAGCAGAGGGCGCCAGAACCCCACAGAAGGCCCCCCGGTCCCGCCCAGGCCAGTCCCGTGGGGCTGCCAGGATTCACTCCCTGACCTTTGTGGAGCATGGTCAGACCAGGCCCGGCCTCTGGAGAGACCTGCCGTGCAGACAGGGGACCCAGCCTGGTCTGGCCACGCTCCACTCCCCGTCCATCACTCCCATAGCATGCGAGTGGGCATCTGAATTTGGGGGAGGGATGGACAAGGAAAGACACCCCTCGCCCCCCCCAAATTGGAAGCTGGTTTGGAATTGTGTCCTGGCCCTTCCTCTTATTCGCTGTGTGACTTCTGGCAAATCACCCAGCCCCTCTGAGTCTCCCATCCCAGCTCTGTGACGTCCCCACGTCCCACATCTACCCAGGGTAGATGACAAATGCGTGGGATATAATCAGGTACAGTTCCCAGCCAGGATGCCAGTTTCACTGAGGCTGTAGAATGCAGACGCTGAACCCCGCCAGCCAGAAAGCAGCCTGAGTGAGCGCCACCTCACGCCTCAGCTGTAAGGTGGGGTGACAGCGACCAACCTCAGAGGCTGTGTGGACGCCGAAACCGGTTTGGCTCAGTGGATAGAGCGTCGGCCTGCGGACTGAAGGGTCCCAGGTTCCATTCTGGTCAAGGGCCATGACCTTGGTTGCAGGCACATCCCCAGTGGAGGTGTGTAAGAGGCAGCTGATCGATGATTCTCTCTCATCGATGTTTCTAACTCTCTATTTCTCTCTCTTCCTCTCTGTAAAAAGTCAATAAAATATATTTAAAAAAAAAAAAAAGTCTGTGCGGAGGGAATGCAGTGCTGCCTGGGCCCCTTAGCCCCGTGGCTCTGTGGCCCCGGGGCTCGGTGGCCCCGTGGCTCGGTGGCCCCCGGCCTGGTGCCTGGTAGCTGTGATTAATCCTCATGCACTGGGTTAGGTTGCAGTTCCCGAGCCTCCTGTGGCTCCTCTCTGAAAAGGGGGGGCATTCGGCATGTATGGCCCCCCAGCCCCCAACCCCCCCAGGGAGCAGAGTTTGTGGGGGCTCAGGCGGGAGGGTGCGGGCTCCCTGCGCAGACGCCCCCTGAGCCCCGTCTCCCTCAGGAGAGACGTTCCTGCCCTACTACACCGGCCGCGCCATCGACGGCATCGTCATCCAGAAGAGCATGGAGCAGTTCAGCACGGCCATCGTGGTCATGTGCCTGCTGGCCCTCGGCAGGTACCCTCCCCCGGCCGCCCGGGCCACGAGCGCAGCGGGCAGAGGGCGGGCGGCTCCTGGGGGAAGGGGGAATGAGCCAGACGGGCCCCAGGAATGCTGCTGGTCACCATAGTAACCATGTCCATGTGGCTGAGCCACACCCTCCTCCGGGCTCCCCCGTCTGGTCCCCCAGGCCAGCCTGTGCGCCCTCGAGGGGTCCCACTGGCGAAGCCAGGTCCTTGCCCCAGTAAACCAGCCCCCTCTTCGCTCTCCCCCTGGGGACGGAGCCTGGGAGGGGGTCAGGGTTGGGCCGGGCCTGCCAGCAGCAGGGGGCGGCGGGCGGGGGGTGCCGGAAGGACGGCGTGCCATGTATAACATCTCTTATCTGCAATTAGCTCATTTGCCGCAGGTATTCGGGGCGGCATTTTTACCCTCATATTTGCCAGACTGAACATTCGCCTCCGGAACTGCCTCTTCCGCTCGCTAGTGTCTCAGGAGACGAGCTTCTTTGACGAGAACCGCACAGGTGGGCTGCCTGGGGGACCAGGGGAGCATGGGGAGGCTGGGGGGCCTGGGGGGCCTGGGGACCTGAGGGCCTGGGGGACCTGAGGGCCTGGGGGACCTGGGGGGCCTGAGGGCCTGGGGGACCAAGGGAGCATGGGGGGGCTGGGGGACCTGGGGATCTGAGGGGGCCTGGGGCCTGGGGGACCTGAGGGGCCTGGGGCCGGGGGCCGGGCTGTGCCTGGGGGGCCTGAGGACCTGGGGGGCCTGAGGACCTGGGGGACCTGGGGGCCTGGGGGGCCTGAGGACCTGGGGGGCCTGGGGGGCCTGAGGGCCTGGGGGGCCTGAGGACCTGGGGGACCTGGGGGCCTGGGGGGCCTGAGGACCTGGGGGACCTGGGGGCCTGGGGGACCTGGGGGGCCTGGGGCCTGGGGGACCTGGGGGCCTGGGGGGCCTGAGGGCCTGGGGGACCGGGAGGGCCTGAGGACCTGAGGGCCTGGGGGACCTGGGGGACCTGGGGGCCGGGGGGGCCTGGGGGCCTGGGGGGCCTGAGGGCCTGGGGGACCGGGGGGGCCTGGGGGACCTGAGGGCCTGGGGGGCCTGAGGGCCTGGGGGTCCTGGGGGCCTGGGGCCGGGGGCCTGGGGCCGGGGGCCGGGCTGTGCCTGGGGGGCTTGCCTCCTGCTGAGAAAGCAGACCGGCACGTTTGTGGTCTCGGCGATGCTGGCATTTCCCGCTGCCCAGTTCTGGTGGCATCGTCCCGGGAGGCGGGCTCAGGCCCGGGGGCCGGCCTGTTGGCTGAGGCTCTGGTGTAAGCTGTGGCCACTGTGGGACCCCGGCCAGGCCACCGAGGTCCCTGCAGCAGCCAAGGCCTGGCTTCCCACTGCCACCCAGGCCTGCGGCCGGCAGGGCCCAGATCCTTGGGGTGAGTGAGGGCGGGGTGGGGGGGGGTGAGCGAGGGGGGTGAGGGAGGGGGGGGTGAGCAGGGGGTGTGAGTGGGTGTGTGTGTGAGGGGGAATGTGAGCGAGGAGGGGTGAGTGAGGGGGGGTGAGCGAGGGAGGTGAGCGAGGGGGGGTGAACGAGGGAGGTGAGTGATGGGGTGAGTAAGGGGGGAGCGGGGGGGGGAGCAAGGTGGGGGTGAGTGAGGGGGGGTGAGTGAGGGGGGGAGTGAGGGGGTGGGTGAGGGGGGGTAAGTGAGGGGGGCTACGGGGCAGAGCAGTGCACCATCCGGCCCAGATCACTGTCTCTGAGACTGACCAGCCCACGTTCAAGACCTGGTTCCACCGCTCGCTAACGACCCCTGGGCCTCTGTATTCTCATCTCTAAAATGGGCACAATAGGAGTAGCCACCCCGTGGGGCTGTGCAGGCCTCCGCTCCTCCCTCTGCAGCCCGGCTGGTTATTCTCGTGTCTGAGGGGACCGGGAGGCACGGGTTTGACCGGCAGTGCCCGTGGCGCTGAGCAAGCGTCCTCCCCGGGTCTCAGTCCCTCCTCTGTGCTGAGGGTCTGACGCACAAAGTGCTGGTGGCAGGGGCTGGGCTCAGAGCAGAGTCGTCTTCCCGGCCCCCAGGCTCCCCGGTGCCTCCCCTCGGTGTCCCTGTCCCCCCTCCCCCCGATCCCCCCCCCCCCCCCCGCGCTGACTGCCCGTGTTGCAGGCGACCTCATCTCCCGCCTCACCTCGGACACCACCATGGTCAGCGACCTGGTCTCCCAGAACATCAACGTGTTCCTGCGGAACGCGGTCAAGATCACGGGCGTGGTGGTCTTCATGTTCAGCCTCTCGTGGCAGCTCTCCCTTGTCACCTTCATGGGCTTCCCCATCATCATGATGGTGTCCGACGTCTACGGCAAGTACTACAAGGTAGGCGGCCGCGGCGGCTCAGGGGTGCTTCACGGGCACCCACCACGCCCCAGGCACCCACCGCACCCACGGGCAGACACGGCCCGCCCCCGGGGGGGCGCCGAGGGTCCACGGCCGCCGTCATGATAGCACGTAGTGCGGTAACGGAGGGGGAGAGCTTGGGAGAACAGCGAAGGGAGGAGAGGGGCTGGGGGCGGCTGCAGCTTTAACTACCCTGTTTCCCCGAAAATAAGACATCCTCCTCCGAAAATAAGACCTAGCGCAACGTTGGGAGAAAAAAATTAATATGAGACACTGGCTTATTTCCGGGGAAAAGGGGTAGATCTTCCTGAGAAGGTGACATGTGAGTCCAAAAGTCAGCCGTCTCGCGCGGCCGCATGGCTCAGTGGTGAGCGTCGGCCTGTGAACCGGGAGGCCAGGGTTCGATTCCCGGTCAGCGCACAGGCCCGGGTGGCGGGCTCCATCCCCAGTGTGGGGCGGGCGGGAGGCAGCCGGTCAATGATGCTCTCTCATCACTGATGCTTCTATCTCTCTCTCCCCTTCTCCTTCGCTCTCGGCAATCAATGCCGGCCATCTGTGCAAAGGCCTGTGCAAAGGCCCGGGTGGGAGCGTGCCTCAGAGGAGCCTCAGGGAGGCTGGAGCCTGAGGGAGGGAGGGAGGGAGGGAGGGAAATGGGGGCAGGGAGAGGCTGGGCCAGACGCGGGGCTCTGTGAGAGCTCCAGTTCGCGCTGAGTGCAAAGGTCGCTCTGTGCTGCCTGGGTGGCGTGGTTCCGTGAGTGCGGCCCTTGCCCACGTGCAGGTATGGGCAGGCTGCTGTCCCTCCCCGCCGGCCCCTGGCACCGCCTCTGCCAGGAGGGTGGTTTTGGGGGCCAGGCTCCTGGCTCCGCCTCCTCTGCTTCCCACAGGGGTGGGTGCCCAGAGCCCTCAGGGACCCCGGCTGGGTTCAGCCGGCAGCACAGGGCCTTGCCCCAGGGGCCCAGGCCTGAGTGGGCGGGGTGCTCCTGAGCAGAGGGCTCTGACCCCAGGCAGCTCGCAGGAGCCCCTGGCATCTGTGACCCGAGGCCAGCTCCTCCAGGAGCCCCTTCCCCGGACCCACATCACCCAGGAGGGCCCTCGCGTCCGCCATTCTGGCTTGCGGGCCTCCCTGTTCCCCTCGCTGAGCAGAAAGAGTAAATACGCCCGTTGGCTGGAGCTGGAGCTGGAGCCAGCTGCTTCCTGAGCTCCCCACCCCGCCCTTCCTGCCTCCCGCCGGCCCCAGTCCCCAGGACAGGCCCGGAACCTGCCTCCCAGCGGCCGGCCTGTGCACACCTCCGGCCTCGCCCAGGCTCAGTCCTCGGAGCCGCAGGGCGCTCTGTCCGCGGCCTGCTCCCCGCCCCTGATGTGCTGAGTTCAGCCTCCGCGTCATCGCCCAAAGCCACACGCACCGCCCTCAGCCAGACGTGACGTGGGCACTGCCCTGCAGGCTCTGACCGCGGGGCTGACTCAGAGGTCACGCGACAGACCCGTGCCCGTCCCGCCTGGCGAAGCCCAAGCAGCCCCGCCCAGGGTCCCCTTCCAGGGCCTCCGCGGGCAGCAGCCCGGGGCCATGCACCGGGGACCGCGTCTCAGCCGTCTGTGCCCTCGGCACACGACACCGGTGGACGCCACCTGGAACTCGGCGGGCAGTTCTTACAATATATATATTTTATTGATTTTTCTATAGAGCGGAAGGGAGAGGGATAGAGAGTTAGAAACATCGATGAGAGCGAAACATCGACCAGCTGCCTCCTTCCTGCACTCCTTGTGGGACGTGCCCGCAACCAAGGTACATGCCCTTGACCGGAATCGAACCTGGGACCTTTCAGTGTGCAGGCCGACGCTCTATCCACTGAGCCAAACTGGCTAGGGCTCAGCTGGCAGTTCTGGCACCGCCGTGCCACCCTCAGGCTCTCACGTGACTCACTGTACGTTGATGATGTCGATGGCGTATTTAAAAAAATACTTATTTTTTATAGATTTCAGAGAGGAAGGGAGAGGGGGAGAGAGAAACAGAAACATAGAAGCACCAATGAGAGGAAAATCATTGATCGGCTGCCTCCTGCACGCCCCTCTACTGGGGAGCAAACCCGCAACCCGGACATGTGCCCTGACCTTGACCTCCTGGTTCCTGGCTCGATGCTCAGCCACCGAGCCCGCCCGCCGGCCGGGCCGCAGTCTGTTCTCCAGGTCCAAACAATCAGGCCGGAAGGAGGGGGGAGAGGGGCCTCAGTCCTACCCTTCTGTCCCGGGACGCCCTGCAGAGCGCTCCCCCCAACTAAGGGCAGAGGTTCCGGGCTCCGGCCGGCCGGTCGGTGGTGACAGTGTCCCGTGGGGCCTCCTCCCGCCCGTCCACAGAGGCTCTCCAAGGAGGTCCAGAACGCGCTGGCCCGCGCCAGCACCACGGCCGAGGAGACCATCAGCGCCATGAAGACCGTGCGCAGCTTCGCCAACGAGGAGGCGGAGGCCGAGGTGTACGCGCAGAAGCTGCAGCAGGTGTACAAGCTCAACCGGAAGGAGGCGGCCGCCTACACCTACTACGTCTGGGGCAGCGGGGTGCGTGCCCCGGGGCCCCTCGCTCGGCGCGTCAGCGGGGGCCCCCCCGCAGGGGTGGCGGGCCGTTTGCGGGAGACTTTCCCCTGGTCCCCGCTCGCTGCCTGTGCACGAGATGAAGGAGCACAGCCTCCGGGGGGTGTCCCCACGGAGATCTCGCCGCCCCTGCCCCGGGGTCCAGGGCCGAGCTCTCTCCTCAGCCGGGGAGCGCCCTGCCAAGGCCCGAGTCACCCCAAGGCCAGCCGGGGCCCGGCCCAAGCCCCTTTCTGGCGGACGGAGGCCACTGCTAGCCAGGCCCGGGAGAGGGCCCGGCTCACTTCCAGGGATGGGGTCGCAGCCCCCCTGGGCGACGGGGGGCACCTGGGGCCTGTCCTGTCTGCGGCCACATCCGGACGGCGGGCCCGTCGGGGGAACAGCTGGGCGAGAGAAGAGGAGGGTTTGGGGTTCGAGGGAAGGAGGAGCCAGGAAGGGAAGGGCCCGAAACTCTGGTCAGCCGAGCCTCCTCCCTCCTCCCCTCCCCGAGGCAGGGTGCCCGTGGGGCTGCACTGGGTGGTCAGGGCTGCTGTCTCCACTCCCCCCAACCCCAAGAGACCGCCCCAGGCGCTGGGCGGGGTGGGGGAGGGCTGGGGGTGGGGGTGAGGGTGCTGGGACGCAGCTCCTTCTCTGGGGAGCCTGTTGCGGGGGAGGAAACACAGACCCCGCTGCCCTGGGAGGCCTGGCTCGCTCCGCCCGCGCTCTGCCCGCCCGGTGAGGACGAGGACTGACGGCTCCCGCTCGCCGAGCTGAGGGCTGGGGTCCGGTGTGTGTGCCAGGAGCTCACAAAGAAAGCCCTGTTCTCCGCCGGGCCCGCGGCCAGCCCCCGCTGGGGACCTTTGCAGGGAAAACTTTATGGGAGGGAGGGGGGAGGGCGAGAGTGACCGGCGGGCACCTGGCCTGTGGGAGGGTGGGGCTCAGCGCAGGGGGAGTGCAGGGCACCCCTCCCCGCCCCCTGCAGCCGGGCGGGGAATGGGGCCCTGGGAAGGTGTGAGCCAAGCCCCATCCCCCTCCTGCCGGGACCAACGCTCCCCCGCCCCCCCCCCTCAGCTCACGCTGCTGGTGGTCCAGGTCAGCATCCTCTACTACGGCGGCCACCTCGTCATCTCGGGGCAGATGACCAGCGGCAACCTCATCTCCTTCATCATCTACGAGTTCGTCCTGGGGGACTGCTTGGAGGTGAGGGCCGGCTGGGCGGGGTGCGGGGGGAGGGGCTGTGTGGCCTGGGGGAAGTCCCTGGGCGCCTCTGTGCCTCCGTCTCCTCCTCAGCACAGAGGACGTAATGGCAGCATACCCAAAGCACCCCACAAACCGTCATCATTGTTTACGTGTGTGTGTGTGTGTGTGTGTGTGTGTGTGTGTACACACGGAGCGGCCGGACGATGATGGTCTCTGAACGCATAATCATCTGGCCACTCAGTGTATATCCTATGGAATAAGAGGCTAATATGCAAATTGTCCCCTCGACCAGGAGTTCGACCAGCAGAGAGGCCGGACAACTGCCCATGTCCCCTACCCCAGGCCGGGCTGGCCGGTCCCCAGCCAGCAGGACCCTCCCACAGGCCAGGTGCCCGCCTGTCACTCGCTTCTAATACACACACACACACACACACACACACACACACTGAGCAGCCAGATTATTATGCGTTCAGAGATCATAATCTGGCCACTGAGTGTGTGTGTGTGTGTGTGTGTGTGTGTGTGTACATATATACACACACATATATATATAGATATATATATTGATTTCAGAGAATAAGGGAGAGGGAGATAGAAACATCAAAATGAGAGAGAATCATTGATCGGCTGCCTCTGCATGCCCCACACTGGGGATCGAGCCCGCAACCTGGGCATGTGTCCTTGACTGGAATCGAACCCGAACCCTTCAGTCTGAAGGCTGATGCTCTGTGCACTGAGCCAAACCAGCCAGGGCTCAGTGTATATATTTAAAACATTTTTTTTTACCCAAGGAGATGTGTAGTATAAATTGACACCCCCTTTTTTAATTGAAGTTTTTCTGGCGCTGTGGCAGCTGAAGGAGGAAGGGTCCGTTCCCCGTCCGCCACATCCTGGCGGTTTGGTTCCTTCTCTGCCCCCCTCCCCTCCTCCGGGGCGGTCACCCCCGCGGGGTGGCGCGGAGGCTCCTCCCGTCCTCGTCCTCGTTTGTCCGCGTCATGAACTCGCAGGGGGGCCTCCCTCCGCCCCTCGGGGTGGGTGCTGCGTCCTCGCCCTCCTCCTGGCACCAGGGGCGGGCGGGCGGGGTGCCGGAGCGGTCCGCCGGACGGGACGTGTCTCCCTCCGCAGTCCGTGGGCTCCGTCTACAGCGGCCTGATGCAGGGCGTGGGGGCCGCCGAGAAGGTCTTCGAGTTCATCGACCGGCAGCCAACCATGGTGCACGACGGGAGCCTGGCCCCCGACCACGTGGAGGGCCGCGTGGACTTCGAGAACGTGACCTTCACCTACCGCACGCGGCCCCACACCAAAGTCCTGCAGGTGAGGGGGGCGGGGGGGGGGCGCGGCCTGCCCCGTGCACGGGGCCCCACACCAAAGTCCTGCAGGTGGGGGCGCAGCCTGCCCCGTGCACGGGGCCCCCCACCAAAGTCCTGCAGGTGAGGGGGGCGCAGCCTGCCCCGTCATCCTCTCCCGCACCCCGTCTCCCCGCCTCTCCCACAGGGGCCTCTGGGCCTCGGCCGCGCGGCCAGAGCACAAGAGGCAGAGTCCCGCCCCCCTGTGCTTTGGGCTCTTGTCTAAGGTGACCTTTTGGCGGGACAGTCCCGATTTTTAACCATTTGTCCCACGTCCTGCAGCGTTTTAAAAAAGTCCTCATTTTTGGAAAGAATCAGGACTTTTTTTTTTTTTAAATATATATATTATTGAATTTTTTTACAGCGAGGAAGAGAGAGGGATAGAGAGCTAGAAACGTCGATGAGAGAGAAACATCGACCAGCTGCCTCCTGCACACCCCCTGCCGGGGATGTGGCAGACCGAAGCTCTTTCCACTGAGCCAAACCGGTTTTGGCAGAATCGGGACTTTTTTAAAAAAAAAACGCCGCGGGACGCGGGGCAGATTGTTAAAAACCGGGACTGTCCCGCCAAAAGCGGGCGCCTAGTCACCTCACTCTAGGCAGGAAGGACTGAGCGTTCGCAGAAGGGTGGGGTGACGGGAGTCGTGCAGCGTAGCAGTCCAGGAGGGCTTCTCGGAGGAGGCGGCATTGGAAGGAGACGCAGGAGCCGGTCCAGGTTGCTCCCTGCAGAAAGAACGTTCCAGGCGGGGAGACGGCGTGGACGTGCCGCCGGGTCCTGGGGGGGAGAGCGTCCCGGGAGCCGCGGCGCCGGACCGCGGCGCGGGGGTGCGGGCGCCCGCAGGGGCCCACGCCCGCCTGCGTGTCCCGCAGGACGTCTCCTTCAGCCTGTGCCCGGGGAAGGTGACGGCGCTGGTGGGGCCCTCGGGCAGCGGGAAGAGCTCCTGCGTGCACATCCTGGAGAACTTCTACCCGCTGGAGGGCGGCCGCGTGCTGCTGGACGGGAAGCCCATCGGCGCCTACGACCACAAGTTCCTGCACCGCGTGGTAGGTGGCGGCCCCGCGGCCCCGCCGCCCTCCCGGGAGCAGAGGGGCGGCGGGTGCAGCCCGAGGGTAAGGTGCCCAGACGCCCCGCTTTTGGTGGGACAGTCCCGCTTTTTAACAATTTGCCCCGCGTCCCGCGGCGTTTTTAAAAAAAAAGTCCCGATTCTGCCAAAACCGGTTTGGCTCAGTGGATAGAGCGTCGGCCTGCGGACTGAAAGGTCCCGGGTTCGATTCCGGTCAAGGGCATGTACCTTGGTTGCGTGCGCATCCCCAGTAGGGAGTGTGCAAGAGGCAGCTGGTCGGTATTTCTCTCTCATCGACGTTTCTGGCTCTCTATCCCTCTCCCTTCCTCTCTGTAAGAAAAATCAACCAGGCCCGTGCAGAAGGCAGACTCCATGGTTGGGAAGGAAGTGAGGCAGCTGAGTGCAGAGCCAGAGCAGGTCCTGATCAGATTTCAGGCCCGAGACCCCTGGCACCAGCCAGCTGGCCGGGGCTGGCCAGGCTGCTGGTGACAGCTGGCTGCAAGGTCCCGGCTTCTCAGGCCCCCTCCCTCCCTCCTCCTCTTCCTCCTCTTTTGCAGATCTCCCTGGTGAGCCAGGAGCCGGTGCTGTTCGCCCGCTCCATCACGGAGAACATCTCCTACGGCCTGCCCACCGTGCCCTTCGAGATGGTGGTAGAGGCAGCGCAGAAGGCCAACGCCCACGGCTTCATCATGGAGCTGCAGGACGGCTACAACACAGGTGCCCCCCTGGGCGGGCTCCCCGGGCGTGACCCCTGAGCCACCCCGGGCCCCTGCCAGCTGTCTTTGTTATCGCAGGCGAGAGTCACGTCACATATGTGCCACCACTTTCTCTTTTTAAAAAAATATGTTTTTATTTATTTTAGAGAGGAAGGGAGAGGAAGAGAGGGATGGAATCGTCGGTGATAAGAGAGAATCGGCTGCCTCCTGCCCTGGGGATCAAGCCCAAAACCCAGGCTTGTGCCCTGAATGGGAATCGAACTCTGATCTCCTGGTTCATAGGACAACACTCCACCACTGAGGCATGCCAGCCGGGCATAGGGTTTTTTTTTGTTTGTTTGTTTTGTTTTTAATTCTGTATTGGTTTCTGGGTGTTCCTGGTATTCTTTAATGAGGTCAGTTGTAACTTCTCTTTCACTTCTGATTTTATTTATTTGCGCTCACTCTTTCTCTCTCTCTCTTTTTTTTTTTAATGAGTCTGTCTAAAGAGTTATCAATTTTGTTTATCTTCCAAGATCTACCTCTTAATGTCATTGACCTTGCCTGTTTCGTTGTTGTTTTTTTAAAATATATTTTATTGCCGAAACCGGTTTGGCTCAGTGGATGGAGCGTCAGCATGCAGACTGAGGGGTCCTGGGCTCGATTCCAGTCAAGGGCATGTACCTTGGTTGCGGGCACATCCCCAGTGGGGGGTGTGCAAAAGGCGGCTGATCGATGACTCTCTCTCATCGATGTTTCTAGCTCTCTATCCCTCTTTCTTCCTCTCTATAAAAAATCAATAAAATATATATTTTTAAAATAAATAAATAAAATATATTTCATTGATTTTTTACAGAGAGGAAGGGAGAGGGATAGAGAGTTAGAAACATCGATGAAAGAAAAACATCAATCAGCCGCCTCCTGCACACCTCCCACTGGGGATGTGCCTGCAACCAAGGTACATGCCCTTGTCCGGAATCGAACCCGGGACCCTTCAGTCCACAGGCCGACTCTCTATCCACTGAGCCAAACCGGTTTCAGCTGTTGTTATTTTTATAAGTCTCCATTTCGTTTACTTCCACTCTGATCTTTATTATTTCCTTCTTCCTACTTCCTTGGAATTTTGTGTTCTTTTTTTTTAAACGGCTGCATAGTATTCCAGCATGAGTTTTATAATATTTTACTTATTACATAATTTATTCCATTTCCTATTGGTGGACACCTGCGTAGGTTTTCTGGTCCTTGTGGGCTTTTTGCAATAATGTGCCATGGGTCACACACAGCCTGTGCCTGTGCGCCTGCACCTGCGCCCTGGGCCTGGGCCCCGCTGACCGGAGGGCGGTGCACTGTGGCTGGGCCTCACAGGCCCGCTCAGGAGCAGCTGACAGACAGAGATGTGCGCCCTGCGGCCATTATTGGAGCGATGGGGGGTCCCCCAGGGAGATGGGGGGGTGTCTGTTTCTGCACGGCCACACCAGCACAGTGGACTTGCAAACATTTGGGTTTTTGCCAAATGGATGGGTGAAAATTGTTATCTTGGTGCCATTTGCATGCCATCGGAATTTGCATGCCTCTCAAAGGAGGGAGAGCACCCTTTTGTGTGTTTGTGTTTGTTTATTTTGTTTTTGTTTTGGCTTTTTGTTAATCTTCACTCACCCAAGGATATTTTTCCATTGATTTTTTAGAGAGAGTGGGCGCGGGGAGAGAGAGAGAGAGAGAGAGAGAGAAGCATTAATGTGAGAGAAGCACATTGATCAGTTGCCTCGTGCAGGAGCCCCGACCAGGGCCAGGGCCAGGGAGGAGCCTGTAACCCAAGGCGCGTGCCCTTGACTGGAATCGAACCCAGGACCCTTTGGTCCACAGGCCGACGCTCTATCCACTGAGCCGCACCGGCGAGGGCCCTTTTGTGAGCGTGAGCGGCTGGGACCCAGCCTGCGGCCCCCGGAGAGTGTGGTCCCGGCGCAGGGGGAGGGAGGCCGGCCTTCCTGCTCCCGCGGCTGCCGGCCTCACCCCGCCCCGTCCCCGCGCCCCTCCTCGCAGAGACCGGGGAGAAGGGCGCCCAGCTGTCCGGGGGCCAGAAGCAGCGCGTGGCCATGGCCCGGGCCCTGGTGCGGAAGCCGCCCGTGCTCATCCTGGACGAGGCCACCAGCGCGCTGGACGCCGAGAGCGAGTTCCTGGTGAGCTGTGGGGGGGCGGGGGGCGGGGGTGGGGGTGAGGGCGGGGGGCGGGGGGCAAGGGTGGGGGACGGGGGGTGGGGGTGGGGGGGTAAGGGTGGGGGACGGGGGAGGGGGTGGGGGCAGGGGTGGTAGGAGGAAGGAGAGGGAGGGGGAGGAGGGGGGAGGGGAGGGGGGAGGAGGGGGGAGGGGGAGGGAGCGGGAGGAGGCTGGAGGAGGGGGAGGGGGAAGAGGGGGGAGAAGGGAGGAGGAGGAGGGAGGAGGCGGTGCTGGGTGGCCGCCCGCCTGCCCGCCAGCAGCCCTGTCCCCGCAGATCCAGCGCGCCATCCACGGCGCCCTGCAGCAGCACACGGTGCTCATCATCGCGCACCGGCTGAGCACGGTGGAGCGGGCACACCTCATCGTGGTGCTGGACAAGGGCCGTGTGGTGCAGCAGGGCACCCACCAGCAGCTGCTGGCCCAGGGCGGCCTCTACGCCAAGCTGGTGCAGCGCCAGATGCTGGGGCTGGAGCCCGCCCTGGACCGCGCGGCCGGCCACAGCGAGGCCTGACCGCCCGCCCGATGCCCGCCCGGCAGAGGTGCCCGCGGAGGGCAGGCCTTGGAGCCCAGGCCCCGGACCCGGAGGGCGGCCGGCCACACCCATGTCACTGCTTCCTGCTTCTCGCCTGGCCCCCGTGGCCCCTGTGGCCCTGTGGCCCTCGTGGCCCCCGCCCCCGCCAGCCCGCGGGTCTCTCCACCTGGTCTCCGAGGCGAAGGCACGGCACCTCGTCACACCAGGATCTCACCGGGCCGGCACCGCTCGGCTGGACGGTCCCCGGTCAACCCCCAGGTTTAAAAAAAAGTTTCTCATGGGGCGTCGTGGTGGGCAAGGTCACTGAGATGTTCTAGAAGCTTCTGAGCCATGGAATGAGTGACCCTCCTCGGAGCCTGGGGCCGGTCAGGGGGGAGCTAGGCCTCTGCCCGTTGTCCCCGTCCCTCCCTCTCCCCAGCTTTGTGAGTCGGCCCAGGGTGGGTGGGAGGATGCCCGCCGCCTGCCCAGTCCTGCCGGCCTCACTGTGAACCACTGCGAACCTTAACTGGGGGAGGGAGGGGCTGGCTGGGCCCGGCGGAGCCTCGGGTGACCCCGGCCCAGCACCCGGCGTCAGCCCCACCCCCACTCCCCCCACTGGCCGCCCCTCCTGCCCCCCCCGCTCCCCCCCCCCCGCCCCCCGCCCCCGGGCCCCTTGCTGTCTGGGAGGCCCGTTCTCTGCCCTGATCGGTGGATGGGACGGTGGCAGAGTTCAGGGTCTGGCTTTGCAGGGAGGTTGCAGAATGTTGGGAGAACCCAGTCAATAAAGTGTACTACCTCTGACCTCTGGCCCCTGACCCCTGACCTCTTCCTGGGGCATCTGCCCCATTTCCTGGCTAAGTCTGTCCATCAGACCAGCTCTCCTCCGGGCCCTGCCTGGGGAAGTTGTGGCGAGACTATGGGGGTCCCCCCCACAGTGTCTGAGGGCCCCCAGGGCCTCCGTGCTGACATTCAGTCCCTGTCTGTCTCCCCAGTGTCTGAGGGCCCCCCAGACCTCCGTGCTGACATTCAGTCCCTGTCTGTCTCCCCAGTGTCTGAGCGCCCCCCAGACCTCCGTGCTGACATTCAGGTCCCTGTCTGTCTCCCCAGTGTCTGAGGGCCCCCCAGACCTCCGTGCTGACATTCAGGTCCCTGTCTGTCTCCCCAGTGTCTGAGCGCCCCCGGGACCTCCGTGCTGACATTCGGTCCCTGTCTGTCTCCCCAGTGTCTGAGGGCCCCCCAGACCTCCGTGCTGACATTCAGGTCCCTGTCTGTCTCCCCAGTGTCTGAGGGCCCCCCAGACCTCCGTGCTGACATTCGGTCCCTGTCTGTCTCCCCAGTGTCTGAGGGCCCCCCAGACCTCCGTGCTGACATTCAGTCCCTGTCTGTCTCCCCAGTGTCTGAGGGCCCCCGGGGCCTCCGTGCTGACATTCAGTCCCTGTCTGTCTCCCCAGTGTCTGAGGGCCCCCGGGGCCTCCGTGCTGACATTCAGTCCCTGTCTGTCTCCCCAGTGTCTGAGGGCCCCCGGGACCTCCGTGCTGACATTCGGTCCCTGTCTGTGTCCCCAGTGTCTGAGGGCCCCCGGGACCTCCGTGCTGACACTCAGGTCCCTGTCTGTGTCCCCGGGGCTGTGCTGGGAAATGGAGGCCCGTCTCCTCCGAGTCCCCGAGGCTCCCCAGCCTCCCCCGGAGGCCGAGGCCTGGCCGCTGCCGCCTGCCCTTTCCCGTCGGGGCCAGGCCCCGGAGCTGCGGGACGGTCCCCCCGCGCAGGACGGCGGTCAGTCCCTTTGCCCCCGGCTGCAAACCCTCCCCCGCCTACACCTCCCGGCGCCGGGCCCCGCTCCCTCTGGCCTCCGCGCTGTCCTCGCTGCTCTGCCCCAGCCACGCCGGCCTCTTCCTTCTGGTCCTCGAGCAAACCTCGCTCCTTCTCGCCTCTGAGCCTCCACACTGGCTGTTCCTTCTGCCCAACACACTGCTCCTTCCCCTCAGTGCCCAGCGGGTCCCTCCTCCCTCCTCGCTCAGCTCACATGTCCCCCCTTCCCCCCGCAACAAGCCCCGAAGGTGGGGTTTCCCGCCCCCTGACCTGTCGTCCTCACAGCCCCTGCCACCCCTTGACGTTTTCCCCGTCCTGTCCGCCATGTTCCAGGCACAGGTCTACCCGGTTTGCGTGAACTCTATCATCACGTAACCCTCCTAAGGCCCCCAAGAGGCACAGACACCATCACGCCCACTTCACAGATGAGGAAACGGAGGCAGAGAGGGTTAGCGGCCTCCCAGCTGGGAAGGGCTAACACCAGGCCTCACACCCAGGAAGCGTGTGTGTGTGTGCGTGTGTGTGTGTGTGTGTGCGTGTGTGTGTGCGCGCGCATGTGTGTGCGTGTGTGTGTGTGTGTGTGTGCGCACGTGTGTGTGTGACCCCAACCACAGGCACCGAGGGGGACGCTGGAGAGGGCGTGCTGACCCTGCCGCCCAGGCCAGCACCCCCTGTTAGACCCCAGCTCCTCCCCCCGGCTCCCCCAGCAGCAGGCGGCTGCCCGAGGGCCCCAGCAGGCCGCCCGGAGCCTAGGCCCCGCTCGGCGGCCTCCTGCCTTCCGCTCTGCGTGGCCCCGGAGAGCGCTTCCCGCTCGGTGGAGAGCGGGGTCTGGAGCAGGCCTGCAGCCGGAGGGCAGCCAGAGCTCCCCTCGGTGACGCGCGGAGCGGGGGTGGGGGCCGTGGCTGACCGCGCTCGGGTCCGAGGCTCCAGCCCGGGCCCCGCGGAAAGGCCGCTCGCAGATCTCAGGACGTCTCCAGGGGCGTCGGACTCTTCCATCCCCGTGCGAGGTCAGCGGCTTTTTATAGGTGGGCTCGGGTCATTTTTACAAAACCCAGGTCGCTGAGCCACACCTCCAGGCGGTGTCCGGCCTATACGTTGGTCCGGCCCTGCCGTCTGTCCGCCCAGCTCTCCGCCCTGCCCGTCCCCTCCCGGGCTGGCAATCCCAGGTTCTCCTCCCTGTCCCATGCCGGCGTCAGCCCCAGACCCCCATGTGCAAGCCCGAACCCCGAGTGACCTCGTGAGCCCCCTTCCCGTTGGAAGGCAGAGCGGGCTTTTTCTTTAAAAAAAAAAAAAAAATGTTTTATTGATTTTTCACAGAGAGGAAGGGAGAGAGATAGAGAGCTAGGGGCGTCGATGAGAGAGAGACATCGACCAGCCGCCTCTTGCACACCTGCTACATGCAACCAATGTACATGCCCCTGACCGGAATCGAACCTGGGACCCTTCAGTCCGCAGGCCGACGCTCTATCCACTGAGCCACACCGGCTTCGGCGAGAGCGGGTTTTTTGATGCTGGGGCGGCCACACAGGCTTCCGGAGGGGAGTGGCACCGTTTGAATGAACAGAACAGAGCTCCTGTCTCGTCGTCGCCTGCATGCTTTCCCACAAGGAACCACTTTTCCCAGACGTCCGCCCGCGCTGTTATTCGGGAGCAATTTCAGGCGGACAGGCCGGCCCCAGCGTCAGCCAGAGGCGCCCGCCACTGCACCTTCACCCAGTTATCCTTTACGTCGGCATCTCACATGGCCCAGGGACACTCCTCACGGCCAGGGAGCCGGCCCTGGCGACCGCTGGCAACGAGACCCCAAGCTCCTGTTGGTGTTTCTGCAGCCTTTTTTTGTTGTTGTTAACTTAAAAAAATATGTATGTATACATTTATTGATATCAGAGAGGAAGGGAGAGGGGGAGAGAGAGAGAGAGAAACATCACTGATGAGAGAGAATCACGGATCAGCTGCCTCCTGCACGCCACCTACTGGGGAATCGAGCCCACAATCAGGAATCGAACCGGGACCTCCTGGTTCATAGGTCGATGCTCGGCCACTGAGCCATCCGGCCAGGCTGGACTTTCTCCGTCAGGGTGAATGTAGCAGATCTGGCTGTCGTCCTTGGTCCTGGGCCCCGTGCCAGGCAGTCACTGTGGTCAGAGCCAGGGGGCTGCGGGGACCCCGAGCGGACAGCCCTGGCGTGAGGCCCGGGGCAGGGAGGGACAGACCGGGCCCATGGTGTGCGGCTCACGCAGGTGCGCCGGGCCACGCTCGGAAGGACCTGATGCTCTGCTTAATGCTTAACGCCCCGCAGCTGCCGCCGGCGAGTCCTTCCTGAGGTTTGCACGGGGCCTCTGGCCTCCGCGGTGTCATTCTGCACCAGGCCCTGCACCCTGTGCAGCCGGTCCGGGCAGTGGTCTCCGCGGGAGGCAGGGGCCTGGGGAAGCTGCGTCTTTGGCGTCTGGGGAGGGGGCTTAGAGAGTTCTAGAACCTGCACTCTGGCCCCCGCCCCAGGTCCTCACCCTGGGCCTTCCCCCTCCCCTCCCCCTCCCTCCTCTCAGCTGGTCCCTGAGGCTGAATGAGAGCCTCAGGCGGCAGCAGGTGGGTGGTTCTGGCCCAGAGCGTGTGTGTGTGTGTGTGTGTGTGTGTGTGTGTTGGGAGGGGGCTGTCCATCTGGTTTGGGGTCACAGTCAGCGCTGACAGCCCCAGGGACGGACACCCAGGGCCTCGGGGTGCTGCCCCCAGTGGGGGAGCCGGGGAGGACCCCCAGGTGGGCGCGTGGGGCCCAGCCCCCGCACCGGAGCGGCCGGAGTGCCCGTATCCATCGCACGGAAGCAGTGCCAGGGCCCGGACCCCGCCCCCCAGATCTGCTTTTCTCTCCGAGTCCGGCTGCGACCGTCTCTGCCCCCGGAGCATCCAGAGCTGACGGCTCGGCCTCCCTGGGTCCTGCCCGCCTCCCCTTCTCCCGGCTGCCGGCTCAGCGGGACAGGTAGGCGGGCCGCACAGCGTGCGCGGCTGTGAGGGGAGCCCCCGCCTGCACCCTCCACCCAGGGGCAGGAGCACCCAGAGGAGAGCGCGGGCCGGGGCGGGCACAGCTGTGAGGCGGGGGGAGCGGTGGGGACCGTGGGGACATGGAGACCTCGCTCCCCTCTTAAAGGGGCCGCCGGCCGCTCGGCCGCGCCCACGGCCACCACAAGGAAGTGTGTGCCCCGCGGGGCCTGGCTCCCCGTTTCTCAAGGGAAGTTGGCCAACCACATGTGGACGCCGCCCGGCTTCCACGAGAGGCATCGAGTTCCGGCGTTTAGAAAACACAAACTGGCCGAAACCGGTTTGGCTCGGTGGGCAGAGCCTCGGCCTGCGGACGGAAGGGTCCCGGGTTCGATTCCGGTCAAGGGCACGTACCTTGGTGGCGGGCACATCCCCAGTCGGTAAGGTGACCAGACGTCCCGCTTTTGGCGGGTGGCCACCTTACCAGTAGGGGCGTGCAAGAGGCAGCTGATCGATAGTTTCTAACTATCTCCCTTCCTCTCTGTAAAAAAAAAAAAATCAATGAAATATATTTTAAACAACAAACAAACTGGCCAGACTGAGCAAGCCCTCGGGCCCCTGGGTGGGGATCACGGGTCCAGACCCACCACTGAGCCCAGAGTCCTCCTCGCGGTGGTTTTTCTCTGGGTGGGAGCGTGGGTGTGGGTGTGGGTGTGGGTGTGGGTGTGGGTGGGAGCGTGGGTGTGGGGGTGGGTGTGGGTGCGGAGCGTGGGGGTGTGGGTGTGGGTGTGGGTGTGGGGAGGTGGAGGTCCTGCTGCTCTGCCCTGAGCAAGGGGAACGGGTGTTAGAGAGAAAAACGCGCCTTTGAGAGCTTCCCAGAGCACAGGCTGCAGTGGCTTCCAGAACATTCCCAGTGCCATGAAATGACCATCGCATCTAGTTCCGGAACGTTCTCATCGCCCCGAAAGGAAGCCACTGCCCATCACGGTCATTCCCAGTCCTCCACCCCCACAGATCTG